ATAGCATATCACTTAGTATATTATTTAGAATCATGTTTCTATTCCCTATGGATAGGAAGAAACAATGACTACTACAGTTACATGCAATATTTATATGAATAGGATTTACCTACTGAGACAAATCAGATAGGTAATAGAAATGAGAAGAGGAAAGCCTTTCAGAACATCCACCCTCAGAATCTCTCTCCACCCCATGCATGTTTACTAGTTGCTCCAAAGGTGATGTGGGCTGATTTGGAAAAGAATAAAGTAGGAAACAGTCATGATTCAATTTCAAACATTTCGACAGCAAACAAATTCCTTACGTTAACATTTCTTCCTATGTACAATGGGACAACCCCTGTCTCATGGGTGGTAGTGAGCATTACATACATATAATTTTTACATATTTAAAGCCCCTCTTGTGGGTGTTCAGTGATAGGAGGTTGTAATCATTATGCTCTCAAATTTTCTGAGTTCTTCATTTGCGAGTTAGCAAGACATAAAGCTGCTGTATAACATTACAAATGATTCAAGTATTAGAACACAGAGAAGCATACATAGCCTGCAGTCCTAATATTCTATTTCTAAACAATTGATTTACAACCAATTGGCTTTAAAGAAAAAAAAAAAATACTGCCTAGATACACTGTACTTTCATGCTCCTGAGAACCAACATCAAAGCCCAGCTGATCTGTGGAAGGATAGTGATTTTTGCAGGGAACTCTGCTTACACATAATTTAACTCAAAATTCCTGATGAGTTTAATTTTGAGGAGGGCTTGGTAAGGTTTAATTTATACAGAATATAATGCTTCCCAGCTTTTCCTCACTTGAATGTTTTTCAAAGTGTTATGTTATAATTTGCCATCAACTCAATTTTATCACTTAGCTTGGTTTCCACAATACCATCTGGTTTTATTTTCCCAAAGACAGCCCTACCCTTCAAGACCAGAGACAGCAATCTGGTCATTAGAGGACAGGGAAGTGGGTGGAGAGGCGGGCGCAGACTCTAATGTTGGAATATTAGTTTTTGTAACAACTTTACATTTATTGATCTGGAATTTTACTCCTGCCTGCTTCTTTTGTAAGATTTTGGTGTACAAAGGCTAGGTAAGCCCATGGTTTCTTAATTGTATTCCCTCATTCTCAATCTAGAGAGAAAAACCTTTTCAATAAAACCCACAAAGAACAAACTTCAGATTACCTTGTCTTTGCTATAATCTCCCAAGGGATGTCCAGTCACCAGTGAAAGTTACAAGGTTTAAAAAGGGCGGAAATAGCCTTCCTTAGTCTCGTTTTCTATAAATGGGTTTTCAATTACAGCTCATCTCATTCTCAGTCTTTATCAGAGGGAGCAAAAGATATTAAGAGAACAGACAGACATCACTGTCGAGTAGAGACTCCATTATTGCTAGACTGAGTTACTTGAGCAGTAATTTATAAAATCATTCACATTATAATTCAACTATCTTATTGTACTCATATTTTTAAAACTAATATGTTTTGGCAGCTTAGGCTGCTAAGAAGCACCTTGAGATATATACAACACAAATGTGGAGTGTGATTTTTAAGTAAAAAAAAAAAAAACTTAAAAATGACTAGATCAATTCTACATTTGTTGTTACACTTTTCTCCAGTTGTTGTGACTGTATTTTTTATTGCTTTGGCCCCTTAATCTCACCAGCTTTCTCAGTTCCTTTCCTATCCTCTCTTACAAGTCAATTTGTTTAGCTGCTTAGGTTTCCTCCCACCCTGGCCTCTTGGCTTCCGTTACTATATCTGGGAGGCATTTTACAGATGTCAAGGTAACAGGTAAAAATTCAGAGATCAGCTACGCATGACCCAAATGTTGAGGCTGATCCTGTGTTCCTAATTCTTTGAGAATGAAAATGATTTATAACTTACTACCCTGAGTAATAGTGAACTATATGAACCTTGTTGAATTTTGAGAATGAAGAGAATCTAAATACAATATGTATCTATATGTAAATGTACTGTATACTGTAATCATGAAGTAGGAATAATGTATCCAATTATCTTTTTAATTAACACAGTCCATGTTGGAGTAATATTAATGTATTAACTGAGACTTGGCTTTTGATTTTGACTTAAGCTACAAATTATATTTAAGTTTGTTTATTTATTTACTGCACTGGGTAGGTTTCAGTGGAAAGTAAGTAAGAAGGATTAAGAAATCATTGCACCATGGAGTGCTCCTGTTAACAATAATCCTTGTCACACAGCCTCCCTCCCTCACCTTGGAAATAGGGTGGAAGGGGTAATGGAGCCTTGAGGAATCCACCACCTCAATATTACTTTCTATTACATAAGTCTTTCTCTTTGAAATTTATTTATTTGCTGCTCATCACATTGTTAAAAAATAGAAAATAGTAATAATTCAACTTGTAACAATTCAAATAATATTTCAAATATGCATATAATTCAAATACATAACTTTTATATATGTATAATTTGTATACATGATATAATGTGCATAAAATATACTTAAATATATGCATATATTTATATATTTCTCAAATAATTCAAACTGCTCTTTTTTAGTGGATAAATCTGAGCTAGGAACTGGCATAGGACTTTTCTATAGCAGCTCACTAGGCAACCACATAGTAAAACCACTGGATGATAGCCACCTGTTTCCTGTTCTATAGCTTTTCCTGTTTGGCCATATCTCCATGTTTGCAGATTGTGATTCACTTTGTCTGAACACAGGGCTCTGGTAAATTTAAAACACATTTGCAAGTTTTAAATGCTTCCTGAGTGACACAGGCAAGCAGAGTCATGGCTGAAGCAGACCTGCTGGCAAAGGAAGGGTGGGGACTTGACTGGCAGGAGTTTCTGAAAACTGGGCACTCCTAAATATCAGTTTACACTATGGTAGATATCTACTCTGGCCAAATCGAAAGGACCAACAGCCTCTTTAAACTTCGTGGAATTAAAGAAACCAGTGACCATCAAATAAAAGTTATGCCAAGTGATAAGTAAGTTTATATGTGCTGCTTTGCAGAAGTGAAACAGTACAAAATTATAAAACTTATGTTTCCACTAAAAAATTGTCATTAAAGATCATTTAAAATTGCTTCTGAATTATTTCCAAGTGGTCAAAAGCATTTATACAGATGACAAAGAGGCAAAAGTCACCATCATGGAATGCATTGGTAGTACAATGCTGGCAAGTAAAGAAATTTCATTTCTAGCTTTCTGTACTTGAACCTTTTCTCTGTTACCAGAAGAAAAGAGTAATTGACTGAAAGTGTCCAGTGCTCAAGCATGAACAGTGCCTCTGACATGGTAATTTTTTCCCTTTTTGTGCTACTTCAGTTCAGTAAAAGCACAATAAGTTGAAAATTTATCTTCTTTGTAGTTCAGAAAAACACAGTAATTTAGTGAGCTAGGGAATACTGGCCAACTTGGGAAGCTTCATACAGATGACAACAGTGTGGGGCACTTATGCCTACTTCAGTGGTCATGTGAGAATACATTAGGACAAAGAAAAACAACTTGAAAGCAGGTAGCAGTAGCAAATGTGCATATATGCTACTCGATTCTAAAGTCTGTGCTGAAGGCGAATATATGAACTTCTTTCTGCAAAGAAATCTCCAAAGGAAAATTAATTCTGCTTTCAAAACAGCCTTCTGTATTTTGTATGACACTTCACTTAGGCAATTCTATTAAGTCAACACTTTTGTCTACTCATGAGACTTGCTTTCAAGTTATTGTTGATACTGCTAAGTAGGGTAGATGGAAAAGTGAGTTTCTGATATAATTTCTCATGATGTCTACAGTTTATTGGGAAGCCTTCAAAATACACAACTCCAAATGCTTTCCTCAGAGAATGTATAAAAAATAGCACTCCAAATATAAAGGAGTTTAAAGTATGTTCTGCTTTGTATCAGGGGACTGAAGATTATTCTACGGCATGGGGAAAAGAGAAGAAATGGATTTGCTTGAACGGTGAATCAGGTTTCTCTTTGTAGAAAACATTCAGATCTCTTTGAGTCTTTACATACTATGTGATCTGTTCAATGAGATGTTCATTTCCAAATCTATTCCTTAATCACATCTATATTCAAGTGGAAGAATCAAAACAACTTCTAGAGTCAAATGTAAATCATTTTAGACAATACAACTGTTACCATGAGTATAAACGCATAGCTTGAATTTTAAATGATTCAAAGCTCTAATTTTATATAGATAATTTCTCACCTGCAGGGGAATAAACAAGAGTGATATTTTTCATTTATCTTCACACTGTAGCTTTCCCTGCAACCTCAAAGTAACACCCAGGTCACTATCCTCTCTCAAATCCTCTCTTAAGCTTCAGTGTTCTATATTTCTGCATTTAGGTATCCCAACGTCCTTCTGCCCAAAGTATTCAAACCCAAATGCAATATTTCTTTCCCAGATCTTGTTACCACTGTCTAACAAGAAGTCATCTTCAACTCTTTTTCACATGTAACACATCAAGTTCCAAACACTGTATGTCCGACGTATTCTGCCTTCTATTTCTGAGATTTCTGTCCCTCCTTCTGAGTTAGCGCCCATTGTATCAGTTTAAGCCATTTCATTGCCATGCAGAATTCTGTGGCAAACTTCTTCTTTATCAGGCACAGGGTTCCCTGAGCCTTCCTCCAATGTGTTCAAACTGTGATCTTTCTAGAAATCAAGTGTTATTTAATCTTCACTTACACTCTCCAAGAATTTTCACTATTTTAAAAGTAAAGTCACATAGACTTTCTCTATCTGGCCCTTGCTTCTTTAAGTTCAACTTCCACCACTTCCATAGGTGATAATATGAGGCTCAGTCTCACTTGAGATGTTGCATAGACACTTTACCTTCACAATGTTTTAAAAATAAAAATGTCACACATAATTTTTAAAATCAAAGCTTTATATGACTTATTATTCTAATTTAAATGAAAAGAAACTAATTAGGTGAAAAAAATTGAGTGGAAAAGTAACAAAAAGTGAAAAATAGACTTACATGTCTAAAGTTCTTACCCAGTGTTTGCTGGAAAATTATTCTCCACCCTCTTGCTGTTTGAGATGAATCTGTCTTGAATACTAGGAGCACACTATTATTGCTGCTCTTAATATTTGGAAAAAGTTTGGAGCCACAGAATTTCCCCAAAAGGGGATCATTCATGCTCGAACCATCATAAATTGCCAGATAGTCATTGGAACATAAGGTGGAGGGAACCACATCAAAATAACTGAACCTGTGAAATGAACATTAATTGATGATATTTATTCAGACTTCCATGATATTTATTATACCTTTTTATCATACCTTTAGTTCTTATAAAAGTAAAACACACTAGGCCCTCCCTGGTGGCGCAGCGGGTTAAAGCACAACACCGAGAAGCTAAAGCCGCTTCCACATGAGTTCGATTCCCGCCTGCCCCGGAGGTGACCACATGGCGTGGCAGACCTCTCCTGACCCGCCCGCTGCTCCCCTCAGCAGTGTACTTCATCGATCTGCCTGTTCTGCTCCCCACTCTGTCTCTGGTGAAGCCTCTCGCCGCCCCTGCACCTCTGACCTGTACCCGTCTATATACATAAATAAATAAATCTTAAAAAAAAAAAAAAAAAAGTAAAACACACTAAAGGAGACTATTTTAGTTTAGATTGATAAAACATTAGAAACAACATACCACTTTACTGATTAGTTAAAAAGTTGAACCAAAATATTTTGAGTGACGACTATATGTGAAAAAGTAAGACATTTGCTGGGGATGTAGAATATGATACAGTTTTAGACTTCCAGGAATTCACAGTGAAGTACATATTGAGTCTCTTAGAGATTAAGTTTTGGTAAAGTGAACTGATATTTACTTATAATTTCAGCAACACTTTATTTTTTCAGTATCATTAAAACAGATGGCTTTCATTCTGCTCCCTTGTTCTGAAATTCAAGTGGTACTATACCCTTTGTTTACAGTGATAATTTCTATGCAGAGTGGAAGCTCTATTCTCATCCTGCGTTCTATTTCCCTCTTAAAATGGAGCTACTAGTAAATAAGGTTTTGTGCAACGATGTATAAAAACCAGACTCCTCTATGTGGCATAAGTAACTGCTCATAAAACAACGAATATCAAAACCAGTGCCCATTTTTAACACAGGTTTGAAAACCAGGAATGTGCAATGCTATTACTCACAAAAGAAATAAAAAGTGTAAAAACTAATGGTAGAAAATAATGAACTAATTCTCCAGTTTCATCTGATTGTGGCCACCAGAATTCATCTACTGAGGAAGCCCAGGACACGCCCCCACACCTCCTTCCCAACACCAGCAGGATTGCTTGCTCCCCTCTTCTTTATCTTCCCCCCCTACTCCTGGGCACAGTGGAGATCCAGCCTGGTGATGAGGTCAGAAGGCTGCTCTGTCATGTATTAGGAGCATGTGTGATATATATTTGAATTTGGAAGAAAATTTTACAAGTACCCACCAGCTTGCCGCCCACTGCAGTGATAGATGTGAAAGCCAAGGGAGAGATCGAGCAGCCTTGAGCCTGGTGGCAGCACAGCTGTGGTGGGCAGTGCCAAGCACCATGGGTAGATTACAGGCGTGAGCAATAGAATTGCCCCGTGAAGCCACTGTGTGTTGGAGCCACTTGTTACCTCTTATCACCTGACAGACATGTCATTAACTTTTTTTAATGGCCTGATTCATTAAGGCTTTGTCCTTTCAAGTTAACTATTCCAGGATTTCCAAGCAAGCGAGGCTTCCCACATGGTTTTTCTTCAGGGTTTTGTGGTGGTTTTACAGCTTACTCTTTTTAAAAATCTGTTAATGACATCAATATCCTACTCTCATTTTTAGAGGTTTCTTCCTCTTTATTGGTTTTTATTTTTTTGCTAACAGCTATACTATAATATATACTTTGGAATAATTTGAAAATATCTAATGATTCAAATGGATCCCTTTAAGAGTCTTAAGAGAAAAGGAATCTGTTAATTTTTTCTCATAAAGGTTTTCATTGGTGACTTTTTTCTCCAAACTGATGATGAAGAGCAAGATGAAAAAAATATTTTTTCTAACCCAGATAACAATGCCCTTATGACAGAACATGAGGACAGAATGATAGGTGGACAAATTCTGAAAACAAAATATTCATTCTTTATTCTTTATAGACATTTATTTTCCACAGCATGAATCCATAAGAAAAACAAATATTTGAGTTTCTAAGAGGACTCAAACATGTTTTGCTTTTTGTTTTTGTTTTTGTTTTTTTTTCAATCTAGCATAATTTCCCCCAGGAGAGCAGAAAATACTTGGAAAAAAAAAACACAAAACCTTATGTGGCAGGTACATTTTGGAGACTTACTAGAGGGTTTATGTTGTATTGCTGTAGTACTTATTATGTGTTTCATAGAATGCAGGTTCTTAGAAAGAGTATAAAAAATAATTTCCCAAACATGTTGATGGGAATACTGACTATGGTGAGCCCCAGCCAGCCAGGAAGGAAACAAAAAGGAATTTGCAAATTTGTAAGCATGCACAGTACAGATGCAGATATATAGAAAAAAATAGAAATATATGTAGAATTAGAGTATGTGTGTATGTATGAGTTTATGCATGAACAATCCTACATGTGCTAGAAGCAAACATTAAGTATTGAGCAAAAATGGCAAATGACTAGAACCCCCTGTGTGCCTCCATCTGGGCAGGTGCTTCCTTTATAGGCCACCTGCTCACAGCCATCTGGCACGTGCTGATTACTCTTTTTTTCTTAGGACTTAAATGTGTCTTTGTCCTGGTGGTCCAGTTTTCTTAAAATAATACCAGGTGGGAGTTGCAATTTCCCTTAAGGTCCAGCCTGGAGACCACTTATGTATAGAGTCTGATAGAGGAAGCAAATCACTTATGATGAGACTTGTTTTATAGCCCAAGAACGCACTTCCCATAGTGTATCACTTTGGGAAAGCTATTGGCCCTCTGAGCCTCAATATTATCATCAATAAAGTTAATAAGATATACCTTATATGACTGCTTTAAAAATAAAATAAGAGATTTAGGGAAAGTATAAAGTTCCTTGTTTTTAAGTACCTGACAAATAGAAATGGCTTTCTCTTGCCTACTCTACACACTTTGATTGAGATACACATTTTAGAACTTTATAACCCAATAGATGAAACTCCTTTGAAAATGGAGAAGATACAGAACAATCATTTTAATTGGTGGGATGCTTGTATTTCCTTCTAAATCACCATTGTCTTGTGTGGAGGGTGACAGACCCCTTTTCCCAGGTTTATACTACAATTAGTTACCCCTCTCTCCCTTGCTCTAGAGTCCCACGTGAATGTGCAATTAGAATCAATGCACTCCATCGAAAAAATTATATCTTTTACACAATTAGAGGCAAAATTATTTTCTAACAAAGATAAATTTGTCTTACATACTTCAGCTGAATCACCTTGTTGTCCCTGACGGTGATGGTATACAAACAGAACATGTTGTTAGGGTAGTCTGAGTAGGAATAGGCAGGGCTTTGGATGGCTCCAGAGGAGAAGTTGAACACCCCACCACAAGCTGCAACAGAAGATGGGGGGATATGCAGAGAACAGGTATTATTCATAGCATTGAAAAATAATTTTGATATATTCTTTACTATTAACCTCTTTTCCTGAGGTGGAGTGCATGAAGGGGTGGGGGAGGGAGGAAGAGATTGTTTAAAAGCAACTTAAAGCTCCTTTCATTGTGTTTATAAGTAATTCTGATCTTTTCCTTGAGGTGAGGGAAGCGACATTAAGGGAGTTGAAACAAAGAAGAGTGTTCATGACACATTTTGGAATGGAAATCATCTGAATCATATTGAGAGCCAGAGTGAAAATAATGAGAAAGAACAATTCAGTATTTGGGGTATAACTAAACTTCCCCTGTAGTTAACTGACATATTGAGAAAGATGACCACCATAATTGGAAGTTTAGAAAAGTCAGGGTTATTTTAAGCAGGGATGGTTGGTAATCTGGAAATCTTCAATATAATTCTAAGTCTCTTCTTTTAAAGAAATTTTGTAAGGTAAAATCTGTTCATTTTTTTTTTTAAAGAAAAATGTTGATTTTGAGGGGATTATGCACCTGATATTTTTTTCATGTAAAGTATTTGAACTCACTATGTTGGTGATGTTTGAATCACAATTAAAATTTCCTATCGGGGGGGCCCTCCCTGGTGGCACAGCGGGTTAAAGCACAGCACTAAGAAGCTAAAGCCACCTGCGCATGAGTTTGATTCCTGCCTGCTCCGGAGGTGACCACATGGCGCGGCAGACCTCTCCTGACCGGCCCGCTGCTCCCCTCAGCAGTGTACTTCGTCGATCTGCCTGTTCTGCTCCCCACTGTCTCTGGTGAATCCTCTCACCCTCCGCATCTCTGGCTTGTACCCCAGTTCTATATGAATAAATAAATAAATCTTAAAAAAAAATTTCCTATAGGAATTATCCAAGGAAGAAAAGAAAATTACAAACAACATTTTGGTTACTCACGGGTTATCCTGTAGGAAAGTCTGAATCCAAAATCAGTGATGTGTGCATTAGAGTAGAAGTTAAGAATCACTGGACCAGAGAGGGTGATGGGAGAAGGGATGTCATCACCACACAAGGTGGCAAAAGGCGTGGAAGCTAAACTGTAACCCCTGATTATTCGTACACCGTCATGGGCACAGCTTCCTGTTACAGTTGAGCGAGCTGTATGAAAGCAATAACCAGTATTACATACAGTCAGAACCAACATAAACCAATGAGGCTGGTTTCAGACACAAATGTGATAAAGATTCATGCCACCGACATAGAAATGAAATTGAGAATCGAGTTAATCTGCCATTATTTATCATGGTTCCAGAAAGAAATGTTCATCATAACTATCCCACAAATACTGGCATGAAAACACAGGTACAGTTTCACAGTAGAAAAATCCCACTTTGAAATAAGCACTTTCTTCCTTGATAAATTGGCTCTTTTAATTTAGTGATTATAAACTGAGCACATCTTTTCCTTCCAGGGATATTTGGCAATATCTGAGATATTCTTTACTCTCACACTGGGGTGTGCTGCTGAACTGAGTGGTTAGAGACCAAGGATGCTGCTAAACCTGCTGAATGTTCAGGGCAGCACCACACCCCTGGCCTCCTGCCATAGGACAAGTTACCTAGCCCAAAATGTCAATAGTGCTGCTCTCAAGAAACCAAGCTTGAATGTAAAGCTCGTGAACAGATAAGGGACTTTTATCATACAGTGGTAAATAGAAATTCCTTAATGTTTTATTGAACAACTATCATAAATATTCACATAAGAAATATTACCATAAGAGTTTGGTGTTTGTAAAATATGCATCATTGTTTTGCTTTCTCTGTACAAACCAAGTATACATTCCCTGTCTCAAAGAATAAATAAAAACTTAAAAAGGCTTTTATTGCTACAACTTATTCAGTCATATTTACAGGTGAATTATACGGTTCAAACATTCATTGCAGGGCCCTCCCTGGTGGTGCAGTGGGTTAAATCTCATCACTAAGAAGCTAAAACCACTTCAGCATGAGTTCATTCCCGCCCCAAGAGGTGACCACGTGGCACAGCAGACCTCTCCTGACCCGCCCACTGCTCTCCTCAGTGGTGTACTTCGTCAGTTGGCCTGTTCTGCTCCCCACTCCGTCTCTGGTGAATCCTCTCACCGTACCTGCGCCTCTGGCCTATATCCCAGTTCTATATGCATAAATAAATAAATCTTCAAAAAATTTCATTGCAATCATACAAACCTGATCTTTCATTGCCTAATTTCTGTTAGAATAAATAACATACCAGCATGCACTTATGTGATTAAATATTCTTTGAAAATACTGAGTTTAATATCTGTATAAAATTCTAAACATATAAACATGCCATACTATGATCAGTTAATCTCCTATTGCTTAAAAATTCTGTCTTTTCTACCTTTTAGTGATTAAAAACACTTTCAAGGGCCCCCCTAATGGTACAAGAGGTTAAGTCTCAGCACCATGAAGCTAACAGCAGCCACTGCAGCGTGAAACACACACACACACACATACACACAACACACACACATGGAAGTTTCTCATTTATATATATTATGTGTGTGTAAGTATATATGTGTGTGTGTGTGTTAATATATATATATATATATATATATATGTGTGTGTGTGTTAATATATATATATATATATATATATGTGTGTGTGTGTGTAGAAGTTTCTCATTTCATTGCATTTTTAGAAGTTGAGTTAATGTTGCCAAGGTAAGATCTTTTACAGGTTTATGAAATAGCTCTTTGAAATGTTGTTAACCGGTTTATAATTTCACAGCACTCTAGGTATCCCTAATTCTTCATTTTCATCATCACATACAAAAATATTCTATTGATTAAATTCTCTATTTTCTCTCCCTTTTTATTTCTCCCCCAGCTTCAGGCAACCAGTTACCCACTTTTAGTCTCCAGGGACTGTCTATTTGGACATTTCAGATAAACAAGACCATATAACACTCAGTCATTTTTGTATGACTGCTCTTGCATTATGTTTTAAAGGCTCACCTACATTGTAGTGTGTGTTAGACTCATGGCTTTAAGGCTAAATGTTATTCTGCAGCATGAAAAGACCATATTTTGTCTCTCTCTCTAAAAATTGATGGACCATTGGTTTGCTTTGTCACTCACATAGTAACTCTACATTTAACATTTTGAGGACTTCCCAGACTGTTCCAAAGAGGTTATACCTCATCAGCAACAGATGAGGGTTTGAATGTTCCACTTCCTCAGCTCTGCTTGTTACTGTTTGTTATTTTCTATCTTGGGCATGCTAGTGGGTATAACTTGTAGCTCATTGTGGTGTTGACTTGCATTTACCTATTACTAATGATGTTGCACATTTTTTCCCACATATTGATTAGTCGTTTTTGTTGTTTCTTTGAAGAGATGTCTATTAAGATCCCTTACCATTTTTGAATTAGGTTATATATATATATATATATATATTATTGCGTTATGAGAGTCCTTACACATTTTAGAGATGAGTGTGGTAATATATTTTATTTTTCTTTAAATTCCTAGGAGTGGAGTTGCCAAGCCACACATTGTGTATATAATTATATAAGCACTGTCGGCCCTACCTGGTGGCCAGCGGGTTAAAGCACTGCACTAAGAAGCTAAAGCCACTTCCGCATGAGTTCGATCCCTGCCTGCCCCAGAGGAGATCCACATGGTGTGGCAGACCTCTCCTGACCCACCCGCTGCTCCCCTCAGCAGTGTACTGCGTTGATCTGCCTGTTCTGTTCCCCACTCTGTCTCTGGTGAATCCTCTCACCCTCCGCATTTCTGGCCTGTACCCCAATTCTGTATAAATAAATAAATAAATATTTTAAAAAATTGTATAAGCACTGTCAATTAATTATTGCTTATATCAGTATACATTTCCATGAGCTATGTATGAAATTTCCAGCTCTTCTGCAAATTCTTCAACATTTGGTATTGTGAGTTTTATTTAATTTTAGATGTTATGGAATGTGTGAAATAGTACCTGATTGTGATATTTAAGTCACATTGCTCTGATGACTAATGATGTGGGATACTTCTTATGTTCTCATTGCCAACCAATAATAAAAAGCACTTATTTCATATGGATGCTAACTGGAACATGTATCTAACACTACACCCACCAATCCACACTCACACACAAATTTTACCTACTTACAAATTCTCATTGGAGCTAACCAAAACTACATTACAATATTTTGTATGTCACATACGCTGACATAAGAGACTTTGAAATTATATTGGCTGTTTGCTAAATAAGTAATGATATACATTTATCTTATAATCAAATACCCTGTCCTTAGACCTTCATTCAAGGATGGGCTTATGACCTCAGACAACCCTATTAAGGTAAATTTCAAGATCTTGATCGGAATCTGGAATATATAATAGTGCACTGATAAGTGTAGCACCAAATGTCTAAGGATGTAAAAAACAAAACACTAATTTGTAGATTTTGTCAATTTCCATGATACAAATACTCCCAGTGTTGCCAAATTTAAAACTACCAACATTAAATGCAGAATTTATTATTCATTAAGTACAGATGTTTAAATAAATGCAGAATTTGGAATGAAGGGGTACAACTGACTCTCATAAAATGGTACAAGATAATTCCAAGATCTTCCTCCTGGATCTTTGTGAAAACACACAATCCCTACTATGTGAGTAGTTGCTCTATAGCCAGGGAAGAAATCCATGTTAGGGTGAGACTCACAATAAATAGCACAGACTGAGAAAAGAAAAAGTACAATACCTGATGACATAATTACAGTAGTTGACTAAGCAGATGTGAGGCACATCTAACTTTAAGATCTTCCAGAAAGAGCCAGTAAATTTTATGCTCAAACATTGATTTAGTTTCCTATTAACTGTGCTATAAAAGTCCTAATCAATATATTACATATTATAGTGTAATTACAATACAGTATAGTAAAGTCATAATTATTGTTATTATTTTTAAAGAACTCTACCAACTTGAAAACTGTTGATAGCTGATTGACTATTCCAAGTTAGTACAATCAGATTAAGTCTGGGCCAATCATATGTACTCAAATTGTAATTAAATTAGAGAGAGGTAATAGTAAGAGCCAAAATTTACATTTTTGAATATCTACAGTCTTTTTAGAAACATTTGGCTCCTTAGTTAAATCTCATGTCAGACTGAAAATAATCTTGAGGTAACAATTCTTTAAAAGGCAGGAGGAAACTTTTACATACGCTTGGGGCAAATATTGTGGTAATGGATTTATGAATACTTACTTGTCTTTAAATTTATCGAGTTGTATACATTAAATGTGAATGTCAATCATACCTTAATGAAGTAATTTACAAAAATATGTATTTCTTAGGTAACTCTCAAAGAATTCTTTCATTTTGAAAGTTCTGGAATAGAAGTGTTTCTAATTGGGCATAAATATGAAAGTTTAAAATATGAAAGACTTAACTGTAGTAACCTTATCATATAAATAGAAGCAAGGTGATATTACAACACAGTGTTGTAAACCCGTTTAACCTTAATTAAAAATGAAAGTATTAAAGAGTTGATTTTAAGTTGTTGGCCGAATGATACAGGCTATCAATGCAGTGTTTGTCTTAGAAAATTATGGAAGGAGATGGTAAAATATGAGGACAAGTATATCCTAAACTTAATTATGTTTCAAATAAATAAAGAAAGTAGTTCAATTTTAAAAAAAATTATTCGTAAATCAGCAAAGGAATCTCTATACTAAGACATAATCAAAACAGTCTGATTCTTCAGTAAGAAGACACTTGGTGACAAAGACCACAGATAACAGAAAAATAATGATATTACATACTTTTCCACAATAGGGGCCATAAATTGAATATATAATCAAAACATAAACAAAACTGCCATGTAGAATATATTAAATGCAATTGGATGATTACCTTTTGAGAAAGGAAATTAGTCAAGGTTTGAAAAAAAGTTCTTTAAAGAGTAAGAGTGATCTCAAAATTAAACTTATGGCCAAGGGGTGGCCGTCAATCAGACATATGAGAATGTGTCAGGAAGAGAAGTCACTGAAATTGAATGACACCTGGACTATAGACATCCTCAATCCTACCTTCAAAAACTGATTTGGTATGTTGTTACTGTTGAATCTCTGAGGTATAAAACTTTGTTTTTATGACTATTTTATCCTTCTGAAAAACTTTGGAATGCAAGTGTTGTATGAAATGAGTTTGACTTTATCCAACACATTGAAATATAATTTCTGTTCTATTCTTCTGGGCTTTGCTAAAGATCAATGTTCCTTTCTGAATTCCATTATAACTCAAAGAAATTGGAGAGAACTGAAAGGAAAGCTAGTATGGATACTTCAGTAAATAGTACAAACTTGAGGAATTTACACACCAACTGCAATTTTTCCTCAGAGTTATAGCTAGAGAGGCAGAGATGCCAGAGGACTATAGATGGGTGGGGGGATCATTTTGGTTGGAATATCTTAATAGTACATTAAGATAATGTCTTTTCAGTAAAGTAGAACAGTGTTCTAGAGAAGATATGTTGAGTGAGCCTGTTCCCCACGTCTACTTAATTTCTGTCATAGTAGCTTGAACCTGGACTCCTAAGTGGAACAATGATTCACCAGGAGGGAGCAGCAAATGCTTGTACAGAACTATACCCCCAAAAGTGTGAAGATAAAGTCTTACAACAAAAGCAAATGAGAAATCGCACAGAAAACAAGACTGTCTCCTCTAGTTCTGAACTTAAAAAAATATCAATAAGAATTATTTCAAAAGAACCATTGCTCAATGCTCTCTAAAATAACGAATTGTGCAATGTGCCTACAGTCTTATTTCTTTAGACACAATTAAGAAAGCAGAAAGAAGAAAGGGTAAGGAATTGAGTAATACCACTTTGGAAAAAAAAAAGATCAAATGATGGAAAATGTGAACTAAAACAGTGACCTCAGTTATTGTGCTTCTAGGAGGAAAAAAGTGACAAAAGGGAAATCTAAATTTTTTTCTTTTCCCTTTTAGCTTTATATTAGATATGGCCTGTAAGCCAGAACTTGTAAATTAATAAAAAAGAATTTTGGCAAACGTTAGTTAGGACCTCCCCTTCCTCTCCGCCTCCTCCTCCCCCCATGGCCTCTCTGAAAACCTAACTACTCCTCTTGGCATTTTTGGTACCATCCCTAGTGGACAACAAGCAACACTTACCCTTCTGGTGTTTTTCATCGCATGTGTGTTACTTTGCTTTCTAATCCTTATCAAGAATTACTTGATAATTGAGTTTAGAACTTCCTTAGGTGCAGGACTTTTTTAAAGAATTTATAAACCCCTCCTTGTCACCAAAGTGTACACATGTTCATATCCACTTTTAATGATAGAAAACTCAAACTAGAGAATGCATTGGCTTGCCTAAGTTTACCTTATCTGCTAAGTGCTTTATTATGAATTTAAAAATAAGTTTATAATGTTCCCCCAAACTTGGGGGCATCCACTTGGTCACATGAATGATAAAAACAGAACCCTCATTTCTGCCTACATCAACAGGACTTCTGTTAGTGAGCTGCTTTATCACAATATACTACATGCTAACTCCTTCATCACAATACTCTACATCCTCAGCTGTATCACAATACGCTACATGCTAACTTCTCAGGCTCACTGAAAATCTGTTCACTAAAGCGAACAGATCTCTAACTTGTTGATGGTATTCAATGGATATGGCTAGTGAGTAGAATATAATTATAAAAGAATTTTAATTAATGTTGCCTTTTTAAAGAAATCACCATAATTCAGTTAATCCAGACCTAGAAATTACTCACATAGCAGATTCAAAATGCTGAGTTTTTGTAACATAGTAAATGTAATGAGCTGGATAGTAAGTATTCAGTGATTAAATACAATCTAAGTTGAAGACAAATTTTTCAAAAGAAAGAAAATACACAAGTACTAACACATGGCTCAGTAGTTGAAAGTACCCATCTACTTGAAGGGATCGTTTTCTGAGATGTCATAGCATTGCTCAATGTCAACTTTGGTCTGTTGCGGTAAGAGCATTTCCACTCTCTACTGTTCTTTGTGCAATATCCCAGTCTCTAGAATAGAGAATGAACCCAAATGGGTGCTTGTGGTAAGTGATTTCATGATATTGACAGTACTGATAAAGATGAAAAAGAGAAAGGAGATGTGAGGGTGTACCATGGCAATATTTAATAGAATTTGGGTACAGATATTAATTTTATTAATTTACTCATTCACTCAATGTTGAGTATTTGCTTTGATGGGCAAGATCATTTCTTTTTCTAGTTATAGTGTGTGCATTCAATAAGGTGTGTGTCTACTCATGTATGAGTACAGAACATAGACACAAATTAAAAACTATTAATATGCAATACATTTCAATTTTTAAACATCATTTAAAATAAACTATACTTGTGTTATTAAAAGTCTTACATTGTGTTTTTACTTCTGCATGAAATATACAGAACAATACATGTATTCTTAAAATATTGGATAGAATCTTAATCAAGTTTCACTAAATATACCCTTAACACTTTTAATATTTTAAGATGGTAACTTTAGTCTATCTCTTTATCATTCATTTACTTATTAAGAATCAGTTGTAATTTACATAAGCAGAAACTTACCTTCCAAATGGAATGATATAAAAGTCAAGAGGACCACAGAGGAATGACCAGTTTCTAAGATATAGGTACAATTCATGTTGTTGTCATATTGCTTTGGGTAGTTTGGAGAAATAATGTAACCTGAAGGTTTTGTGAAATTTCTGCCACATCCTGTGTAGGAAGAAAAAGGCATTACCAGGGCATTTGTTCTCATGTATAGCATCTTTTTAACAGTGAAGACTCAGATTTCCTAAATTCTCAAGAGACATATTTCCTGGCATAACCTATTCTGATTTAAAAATAAATATACATGCAAAATGAGAACATTATATATCTTTATAAAATGCTGCAGAGTTTTGGACTGGGTATTAGAAAGTTTACTCCTAGTCCATTGCGAATCAATAAATTTTAAGATATTAGTGAGAATAATTTAGCAAGGACTTAATGTGGCTCACATAAGAATATAAGACTGATTTGTATCTGATCAGTACACTTAATGCTTTTTAGATGTCTTATATTATTAGAAAATAATGTCATTTTCATTGCCATATCAATCTGGCACCAAAAGAATGCCTGCTTAAAAAAAAAAAAAGGTTGTATTTGCCATCCAAGCTCATTAAAATCTCACTCAAGTCCCTGGTGCTAGAAAGAGAACTACTTTTTTCTATCACCATGTGATATTTCTTTTTATGTAGTCACTACATAAATAAGTTAATTTACATAACTACTGGAACTATAATTAGTTCCAGTAATTAGTTAATTCACATAACTACTGGAACTATCCCAGATGGAAATATTGGAATCACTTAAAAATGATCCACATACACATCCAGAGAAAGCAGGTGAAGACCTACAAGAAGGGCAAGGCTACCTTCATTACTTCCTTTCCATGACCTCCATCCTGAAGTCCTTGTTCACCGCATTTGTTTCCTCTAATTTCTTTCATCAACCTTTTATTGTAAACAGTGGTTTGCAATCAATGGTGACTCAGTTAATTCAAACAACAGGCACTTACCACTGCTACATTTCCAACAAAACTAATTTGTGAATATTGGTCAGAGAAGGAAGGGAAAATCGTGGGGGAAATAAAAGGTGGCCCCCAACTTTTACTGAGCATAAGAATCATCTGGGTGAGAGCAAAATAAAGCAAGTCTCCATTTATGCAAATTATGAATTCTGTTGGGCTTGGGGGGGTGACACTCCAGAACCTTTGAAAGCCTCACTTGATTTCAATATAGGTAGTTAGTGTGCTGCATTCTAAACAGTAGGTCTGCTCATCCTCCTAGCTTTTCCCAGTTCATGCCCTACTCAGGGTTTTGGGGTGATTTTTAGATGTTGAATATGGACTACAGAATTTCAGCAGTTTGCACCATCTCTCAATTGACCTATTGTTAAATTCAGTTCCACTCTTGCTGATTTCTGAGGAAAGGGCATATTCTCAGGATTAGGTGACCCGTGCAGGCTCTTCCCCTTTAACCCCCAATTCCATGAAGTCCTCTTCTCTTCTTGAAGCCTGATGGTGGTGACCACACCCCTTTAAGGAACTCTCATTGTGGTTTTTAGTGTTACTTACGGCTCACAAAGGATGCAGAAAAGCCCTGAGCTGCGGCCTCCTGAGACTGGAATACAACAGTGAATGTGTTTCCTGGAGTGATGATGGAATGGGGTGCTACATTCCCACAGCTCGTGGCTAACAGGGCTTTGTCAGCCTCCTCGGTTCCTTCCCACACCTAGGAGAGCCATAAATATGACTTAATGCTCAAGGTTTTCACCTACCAATTTTTTCATGTACTTAAGCTGGAAGTTAATGGTACTCTATAGAACTAAAGGGAATAGTAAATAAAACACATACAAATCTGTCCTATTTTCTTAAGAGAAGAGTTTTTTTTTTTCCAAATTGCTTTTTAATAACATATCCTATTCTTGAGTCTTCCAAGAAGACTGAGTTCACATTTGTTTAAGTAGCAGTGCTTACAGTATATATGTATAAAATATATATATCACCACCTAGTTTCCTTCTAATGTAGATGAGTTTGCTAGAAGCCAGGGGGGGCAAAATAGCAATGTGTGCTATCATAGTGCTTATGAATTTTTCTGGGTGATGAAAAGTGTAGGGTGTAAGTAGAGGACATTAACCAAGACAAAGTCCATGGAAATTACTGTATTTGTGGAGCTTAAAGAAAGCAGACATGAATTTCAACTAACTATGTAATTAGCATTTATCAGAATAAATTATAGAGAAACCTTGGCAGCGCAGAATCAAAGGGTTTGTTTTGAAGGCTGTACTGTCTGCAGCTTCATGTACATATATGATATAATATATAGAAATTCCTTGTACACATTTCCTAGTTTCTTCTAACACTGATATATTACAAAAATACTTTATAATATAATCAAGATGTTCACAGTGATGCTATCCACCCATTTTATTCAATTTTACTTTAATTCACGTGTATATCTGTGTATTCAGCTAGACACAAGCTACAAGCCACCACATTCAAGATACTGAATAGTTCCAACACCACAAATTTTCCTCAAGAGGCCATATTCTTGTCACAAAATCACTCTGGTACCCCTGTGTCTTTAACCTCTGCCTATCCTCCTTTCCTAAATGCTTTTATTTCAAAATATTATATAAAAAATACTAGAGGATATAACCTTTTAGGATTGAATTTTTTCACTTGGCATGATTTACTGGTATTTTGTCCAGTGTCCAGAGTGTTAGTCTACCAGTAGCTTTTTTTTTTTTTAACCAAGAAGTTGTATTCCCAGGTATTTATATACCAGAATTCACTTAACCATTCACCTATTGAAGGGCATTTGCAGGAATTGTTTTCTGACTATTAAAAATACAGCTACTATGAACATTTGTATGTGTTTATATAGACATAATTTTCATTACTCAGGGACAAAGGCCCACGAGTGCAATTACCAGGTCTTATAGTAAGAACACATTCAGTTTTATAAGAAACTGCTAAAGTACTTCTACTCATTAGGTGGTTTTACATTCCAAGTACTGAGCTTTATTTATGTTATTATATCATGTTACTGCTAATGCTTAACACAGCAAACTATTCTCCTTTTTATGGTTGAGTAATTTAAAGCTCAAATATTTAATTAGCTGGATGGAGTCCAGACTTATGCAAATTTAAGGCCGATGTTCTTGCTGCTAAAAGCATAACCTCTTAGAGCTATGATGTACCAGATGCAAAACAGTAAAAGTGAAATAAATTTATAATACAGTCATAATGTTCCTAAATCGATGAAAGTGATGCCAGGGACACATGACCAGTATCTGTGACTTCGTAGAACACCTTATTGATTGACCCACTGCTATTTTTTTCTCAAGATGTATGAATAACATATTTATTGAAATGAAAATTATTTTTTAAAATTAAAACTTCTGTCTCCAGTGACTATCAACCTCCAAGTATTGAAGATTGCCATCTGGGTTATTACTCTTAGTCAAATGATGAAAATAAAGCAATTTTAATAAACTATTTACATGGGTCTCTAGTGGTCTTTTTGGTTTGTGGGCTTGGAAGGCCTAGGTGAAGGCTGGCATTAGTTTCATCTCCAACCTTCTATCATTACTATGGCATATTTAAATTTTCCTTGAGGATCTATTAGAAAAAAGAAGAGAGAAAACAAACAGATATCTGACTGCTTTCTTTAATTTCCACAGAAAGGAAGAAATGCAAGTGCTTGTGAGAATTTAATAAGGCCAGAAAACAATCTCCTTAATTACTTTGCCTACATGTTAGCAAATGAAAGCTCACAGCACAGTTTAACATCTAATAGCTAAGCTTTCCATGTTTTTCTTCAATTTAGAAATACAAGCAGCAAAATTATTGCTTTCTTACTTCAAGAGGCAGTGTGTCACTTCTAATTTAAACACTTATGTTCATTAAACCAGTTTGACTCCAATTAAATAAACCAATGCACTCACCTTCACAAAGCTGTTCTGACACTGTCCATCACCACTGGGGATTAGGAAATTGTTGTCAAAGTTGATCTCCAGATGTTGACTTTCATGAGCAATGACAGTCCAGGAACATCTGCTGTTCTCAGGAAAGTACTGGGGCCAGTGAGGAGACCTAATTGTGCCATTATGCGAATGAATTATTCCTCCACAACCTGACAAATTATCAGGAAAAAGTCATGAATTTTGAAATAAACTAGGAAAATAATATTTTTGTAAACCAAGAGTTATAGAAAATACACATTTCTAAAGGTAAGAATTCACTTCTTCCTTCTCAAATGACTTATGCTCTAGGCAGGGATACAAAAGTTCTAAATGAATTCAAAGGAAACTTCCATTGTTACTGCTTTGTTACACCTGTACTGAGCTACCTGAAATCACTAATCCTTGCCAGGAAGAAGAAAAATATCTATTTTGCCTTCAAACAATAGTAATAACTTTTACTACCCTTGAGGCTAAAGAATATGAACTTGGTAATCCCAAGTTTATTACTTTATTACCTTTAACACCTGAGAATACAGATCTATACTAATTTGTGATTTTGCTCTACATAACATACAGAGCTAGAAAAAATGATTTAGAACAGGTGACAATTCATCCAAAAGCAATTTTCTCACTTATATTGAACAGTGTTGGTTGAAAATAAGTTACCTAGATTAAAAGAATTACCTAGAGTTGTTTTATATTATTTATATATATATATATATGAGAAAAATCAAAAGAGCAAAATAATAACTCAAAACAGAATGAAGTTAAAGAGTATTCCATGTATCTTTTGTTTCTAAACCCTTGGAAAACTAGTGGTTAATCTAAAATTCCCCTTTGACTTCAACAGCAACTAGTTGCTTAATAAGGGACAGTTTGATTCATTTCATAGAGACCAGCATTGTTCCTGACTCTCCTAGAAAGAACTGTCATGTGTGAGCTATCACAAGACTTTAAGGAAATCCTAATTAAAATACCTGATGCAAATTTTTGTATTTTCTGAGAATTTCCATGAAGTTTGTACTTTAAAAGCCACTCTGTTAAAATCAAAATATCAGTGATATTTTGACACATACTATAGTCAGAGTGTTAATTCTAAATCATAGATCTGCCATTTGCTTTTTAAAACATTTCAATGGCTCCCCATTTTAAGGTGTGAAACAGATGTCAAGGTTCTCCATAATGTGCACTACAATCTTTGTGCACTCAGCTCACCACTCAGCATTCTGCCTCCAAGCTCCACATATTTTAAACTATGATTCTAATGCATATTTTCTATTACTTGTAATCCCCTATGTTTATAGAAGTAGCATGGTGGTGTTAGGACAAACATGGCAAAAATAATTCTTATGCTTTATGAAAAATACAGAGGGGAGGTGGAGTGATGGAGGAGGGCATAGAGAGTGAGATGTGATAGACCATTGGCACTGGAATTTTGATGCAGGTCTAGTAAGGCAGATGCACAAGTTAAGGTGTGAAGCTGTACTCTCCAAATTACACAGTTTTGTAAATTAATGAGATTTTCAGGAAAAAGTTTCTGGCTCTCCTATCTTTACTCAAACACTGAATGCTGATTACCAGCTATGCTACTTGTCAGATTACCAACCCATTTATCCTCAGTTTCTGCCCATGCAACATGGAAAAAAATATGTATATTTTGATACTGTGTCTTCCTTATGAGATGATAAAACATTTAGAATTGTATTAATAGAGTTTATGTATTAAATTAATATTTTTAAAAATTTGTTGATAAATTTCCATTGTGCTAAAGCCACCGGAGGTGACCCACATGGCGCAACAGACCTCTCCTGACCCACCCGCTGCTCCCCTCAGCAGTGTACTTCGTCAATCTGCCTGTTCTCCTCCCCACTCTGTCTTTGGTGAATCCTCTCACCGCCCCTGCACCTCTGGCCTGTACCCCAGTTCTGTATAAATAAATAAATAAATCTTTAAAAAATTGTTTTTTAAAAAATGATAGTAAGTGTATGAAATGTGTTCTTTACCTAAAGTTTCTGTACTCCATGTTGCATAAAATCCACCATTTTGCACTGAATGGTCTGAGTTAAAAATCACCACTAGTTTATTGGAGCCAGAGTGGACTGGCCTGGGGTTTGAGTCTCCACAGTATTGTCCTATGATGGGCGATCCAGAAGAGCCACCATTCCTGATGGTGACAGAGTCCCAACTACAGGTTACATGGGATTCAATATCAAAGTTACTAAATATCAGCTGTAAGAGAAAAAAAAATGCATGAAAAGAAACAGTTTTTCTATAAGTGAGGTTATCTACATAGATATGATGCATACATCTATCTTATTTTTGTTTTCTGTTTTAAATTTTATTTTATGTTAATTGATATAATTTTGTATGTATGTCTTTTATCTAATTCTCCTGTGTTTCCCTCTCTATTTCCTTATTGAAACTGTTCTTGAAAATATTGAGAGAGGAATCTTCTAGAACTGGAATCATTAATATGTTACCATCTCAGTCCCCTGGGCTGGAGAGGGGTGGCAGATCAAAAACATGAATACACCTCTCCTGGATGGGAAATTCTCTCCTACACATAGCTTTTCCTGTGCTTGTGAAGAAGACTTCATTTTTCATTAATTGTAAATGTTTAGATGCCAATGTATGTATGCTATGTAATGAGAGAATTTTAGGGAGAAAGTGATTTGCTTGCAGGATCAAAGCCTATTCTGTTTCCACACCAGTCAGGTTACTTTTCGATAGTCCTAGGAGTATTTCAATCTGTTATCAGAACTCACAGTGATGGTATGGCCTTGTGGAGCTTCCAACAACCAAGAGCAGTGGGTCAAGCTCTCATAAGAGGCTGGATAGTTGGGGCTTGTGATGATTCCACTCTCACCTCTCTGTATCCCGCCACAGTCTGAAATTAGATTTGTAAACTTTATAAATAACAGAAGGAAATAAAAACCCAAGGAAGTAGTATATCCATCATACTTACTGTTAAGTGTATGTATATATGTGTGTGTGTATATGTATATATATATACATTTTTATATGTGTGTATACTTAATACAGACACATATGTGTGTAGTGTTTACATATGTATATGTTACAGTGTATACATTATATATATATTCTCATTTAATTAATAAAAAGAAAATAATTAGCATATTAAATACTGGACAATTTAGAAGTAAAGAGATACAAAAAAATGAGTAAGTTGCTGAAATTGAATGAAAGCAAAGTAAAACTGGGTAGGAGATTAAATATCAACATGATCCCATGTAGTGTTAAAAAAGAATCACATACTGAGAACAGGCTCAAGTTTAGTACAAAAGAGAAGGAAGTTACTTTATACCACAGCTGGAGAATAAATTGATGTGTGCACAACTGACAGTGAATGTACTATGAAAAAAATAAACACCATCTCACTCCTTGAAAAAACTAGGCCAGTCAATTAATATAAATTTGTAATGATCAATTCCATAACTAAAGACTTTGTCATTGCTAATAAGTACATGTTTTCAGACAGCTATCACAGCATATATTTTCATAAGAAGCTGAAAAATAGATACATTTACAAGCATAGAATGGTTTGATGTTCAATACAAATAATACCGCTTCCTGAAGCCTGTCTCTCTTCTCTCAGTCTGCTAAAAAAAATCAGCTAGTGAGATGGTTGCGGGAGTAACTAATCTTACATCGTTTCCCAACTAGTCATTTAGTTATAACACACAGAAAGTTAGATAAAACTATAACGAAAACATATACCAATTTGTAGCCAAACTCAGTAGAAAGAAAAGGAATCTCCAAAGTAATAAGGGTACTCAAATTCTGAGGCTTAATCTCATGAGCCAGTGTCAGTCTCAGAGGGTATAGAACTAAGAGTGTGGCCCCACAGGTCGTGCTCTGGGGGTTTGACCAGCAGGCAGAAGAATGTTTGGATTTAGACCCCAGCAAAAGAAAAGACTGGAACTAAGACTTCACAAAGTTTTCCATGTGAATGAGGAAGGGTTAGGAAAACATCAATGACCTAGGAAAACAGTAAGGAGTAATGTCACCTGACTTGGGCTAATTTTTCAGGCACAAACACAGTGTTACAGATGGAAATCCAACACTAAACAATAATAAATAATACCCAGTGATATATTTGAATACACATCATGACCAAGTAGGTTTATCTTGGAAAGGATGACAAAATATTTTATTTATCATATTAACACATTAAAGCAGGAAAAACTAGTATTATTTCAACAATGAAGGAAAATCATTTGATAATATCTTATGCCCCTTTACAATTAAAAAGCAAACAAAACATACATGAAGAATTTGGAGGGACTTTCTTTGATCTGATAGAGTGTTTATGGAAGACCTAAGAGCTAACAAAATATTTTAACAATGAAATTATCATTCACATTAGAAGAGTGCATTAGCCTCCTTCATTCAATTACACGGTGGTCTTAGGTAGAGAAATGCGACAAGAAAAAGAGAGAGTTTTCAGATGGCAAAGAAAAAGAATAGTATCATTTGCAGAAGATATGATTGTATACATTCATATACAACCTATAGAAAAATACAATTAATAGACATATAGCAAGATCACTGGGCTTAAGACTAATGTAAAAATTTTAATATTTAATATACCAATTACTGTCAAGCAGCATATATAACATTACCAACAAGGTTAATTGCTACCTATAAATACATTTAACAAAATATTTATGAGATCTTTATAGAAAAATTACTAAAAATTTACCAAATATTAATTGCCAGAGTTTGAAAGTTTAATCATATCTTACTTGTAAAGGAATACTCTGCATGGAATCCAGTGTGTTCTACACGCTCATTGGTGACAAACTGCATCCACACTTGAGGATTAGGTATAACCAATGGCACTGAAGGTTTTGAAGGGCCACAAAATCTCCATATCAAAGGTCCATCAGCATTATCTAAACACAATTACATGGTGCCATTATTTATATAGCTTTTTTTTAAAAAGCCAATAATTCAGTAAGAATGACTAGTAAAAGCCATTCTAAAATACTTAGTGACATACAATTAAAATATCATTGCAAACATTTCATAAAGTTTCTATTTCATCACATGCCAAAGAAAAAGTTCTTCCAAATGTGTAAGTCTCTCTTATAAACACACTCAACACACATGCTTTTTTGGTATGAGCTGTTTGCTGTTTTCTCTACTGTATGTGCTTTTTTTTTTTTTTCAATTTCTGTTTTCATGGTTACTTTAACATATTTAAATAGAAATATAACTAATTTTTAAAATGCATGGATATGCTCTTTGTTATTTAGGGAGTAAAATATTATAATGTTAGTGACAAAGGCTATCATCAAGAAAAAAGTGGTATAAATTTTTTACCACTTTATAAATCCACTTTATAAAAGTGGATAAAAATTTAAAGATTTCTTTACTGCATTTAATCAAACAAGATGAACAGAGTATTCACTACTCTGGCCAAGATTACTGGATTTGAAACAGATTATTTTTATGAAGATTATTATCCACAGTAATTTGACTAATATTTATAAAGCACCTGCAGAGTTGACACACACCTGTTCTGTTTATCATCAGACCAACATCACTAGCCATATGTCAACAAAATATAGCACTTTCAATGTCTTTTAAAAAGAAGATTGCCTTTAGCTTACAGACACTTAATGTACAGCTGTTCTGCTTGATTCTATCAGCTAGTGGCTTTGAACCGGGTGGAGGTCGTAAGGATGTATCAGAATCACATGGAGAATAATCTTAGACTACATAAGCCTTCTAAGGTTCATTTTCCTTAGAAAGACCAGATAATTCTCCTGCTGAGGCAGTTGGTCTGTTACCATAGATAGACTTTATCAAATTTTCCTTCTTAAAAACTCCTTCCATGTTCCCAAATCTCCATTGATTTCTATGGTTATCCATAAACATTGCTACCATGTTCCCAAATCTCCATTGATTTCTATGGTTATCCATAAACATTGCTACCATTTCTACTGATTCTACCTTCTTTTCTTTACATTTTGCAAAAATGTGAAGCTTAGTGAACCTTACATAGCCTAGATGATATACAGTGTTACCTAGCCTATTGATTTTTTCAACTGGGAAGACAACCAGCTGGGCGTGGTATGGCAACAACACCTTAAAGTGTGACCCTATACCTTTAAGTCATTTCACTGGAGGGAAGAATTAAAATAGATTCATCTTCTACAAATAAAGATTTTTAAATTTCTACAAGATTATCATTTATCAAGTACAACTGAACACATTTCTCTCATGCAAACAGAGACTGCTTTGGGGATAATTCTGCAAGTACCTTCCATGTATTTTTTCCATCCAGTATACCACAAAGCTTCTCTAGATTTCTAAGGCCTAAGTGGAATTTTACATCCTCTTTTAAATCCTCTAAGTTAAAGAAACCATGAATACATTCTGACCATGCTGCATTCCTGTCTCCAAAAATGGATTCTTGAGGAGTAGGCGATAGTTGCAGAACTCATTAAAACATCAGAGACTAAAAGAATCTCTCCTGGGTAAGTCTTACATGAGATACAGTAAACACTGACAGATCCCACTGTTCATGCAGATTGTTCTCAGCTGGGCACACACAGAAATATGGTTTTGTTTGAACACTATTTTGAATCTTATGTATGTATATTAGTGATTTGATTCCCTTCATTGTTGGTGGTCTCCAGGCATAAGCTGAATACTGTAGATAAATATGAAAACAGATTCCTTAAATGAACTCACCCACTCGGAATTCAAGGACATCAAATTGACAGTCTTGGTGACTTTCAAGGTAAAAATTGTCAAAATTGATGTAAATGGATGAATTTTCCTGATTTGGATTGCTCAGAGTCCATTCACAGTTTAGGTTTCTTGAGTAGTTACTGACTCCATTATAGCCAGGAGAGGAAAAGTTTCCATTAGGGGAATTTGTAAGGGATCCACCACATACTAAGAAAGCAAAAGGCAACAGAAAATTAGCAGCAAAAGATTAATGTCATAATGGAAGATACAAACACTTTATAAATAATAACAAAATATTGATGACAGCAACATTTTTATCACTTTGATTTTCCTATGTGAAGAGTAACTCATAAATACAAACTAAAGACGTTTCAATGGGTTTAGTAAAGAAAGATGTACACCGATAAACAACTCCTTTATTTCATGATAGAATAATAGAACAGGGGTTGGCTGTACATAAATATCTTCTAATTTGGGTCTATTGTTGTTCATTAAAATTTTTATTTATTTTTTGTTTATTATTTACTTATTTTTAATTTAGAGTAACATGTAAACATAGCACTGGCCCCAAAGGTTTCTGACTTGATTTAACTCAAAAATTTTATTGGATCAAACAGCTAATTACAGAGTGCCAATGAATTTGCCCCATTTAATAAGAAAATGGATGGTCCTTGTACAATGAAATAACTCAAAGTTCTTTTTAATACTCAGCTCCACTCCTCCTGATTTTAAAACTCATAGATAAAAAAACAAATCCAGAAAGTAGGAGAAGGAGCTATGGAGTAGAAAGGTCATAACTTGCTTGAATGTTAAATACTTTACATTGAATTTGAGCCCTTTATTTATTTACACTGGAAATGTATATATGGAAATAACAAAAATGTCTGTTTTCAGTTAAATTAGTTGCACATTGTCTGTCTTCAATTAAATTAGAAGTCAGTTGCCTTCTAAGAGGTAGATGATCTCTTTTCAACACAGTAAAATGGAGTAAGGACTGAGAACTGCTACTAACTAGAATGGTGACATTGCATGGAATGGAACTAGACTTAATCCCCATAATAGCACATTTATATTTCTTATTTATAATCACAGTTTTCTTTCCAAAATCAGAAAGTATTTTTTTTCCTGTTTGGTATGGGTTTTCTTAACTGGTTATATATTTTTTTCTTGTACAGAAAATCCTAGATGTGACTTTGATTACACCTAAGAAAAAAGGAAAATTCCTTTTTAGTTTTTAGCAATACTAATGAGGCATCCGCTGTGTACATATGTGACTGAGGCAGGTGCATGCATAACTTCTATGTTACCTGCATCTTCGCTGGATGTGTAGGAAGCAATGAAGCCTCCATAGGGCCTGGATCCATCAGTGAAATAAACAACTTTCATCATGTTCCCTGAAGATTTGATCTCCTCACTTACATTCATACTACCACACAGCTTCTCTAGCTGAGGTGAGTTACTTCTAAGGCCATTGAATACCTGTTGGAAAATTGGTTCAGCCTTTAGACACACAGCCCATCTTATCAAATATTTTCTAAGAGGTTGCATTCCTAGTCCAAACACACTTTCTTCTAAGGTAACCCATTCTAAATGAATTACTTAACAATATGGGTTCTTAGCCCAGTGCTACAAGCCACTATGTACCTGGAACAAATCTTTTGGTCTCAAGGTCATTTCACTAAAATGAAAGCATTGCAGTAATGCCCTCCTGCCACGTGGTGACAAATGACTTACTGCTCTATTCTTTGCAACTGGACAATTGTGCTCTAAATGTAAAGTAGAAACGACAACCTACATCTTCCTAGAGTTCACTCATGGCAGTTTTTTTAAACAATGCTTCAGGACTTTTCTATATTTGGAATGAAGGCCTGCTCCAATCTCTGAAATGATTTCAAATATATAATAACTCAAGTAACTTTAAATATCCTTTAAAAATATTCTCTAAAAATCAATCTCGGGCTCTCCCTGGTGGTGCAATGGGTTAAAGCACTGCATTATGAAGCTCTCCCAAGCCACTCTAGCATGAGTTCATTCCCCTTCCAGGGAGCTAACCCATATGACCTGCCTGCTGCTCCCCTCACAGTGTACTTCGTCGATCTGCCTGTTCTGCTCCCAACTCTGTCTCTGGTGAATCTTCTGACCCACCATTCCTCTGACCTGTGCCCCCATCTGTACACATAAACAAATAAATCTTTATAAAAAACCAATCTAAATCAATATAATCATTCTTCCCTAATCAACTATAGATTCAACAATCCAATGTCCTAGTTTGAATTTTTGAAAATTAATAAGGGTACAGTTGACTTCATATTATTAAACAATAATGCTATTTAGCACATAGGTATAATAATTGACAAAGCGTTATTATAGTTCAGTACAAAACCAAGTGAATGTTTCAGCATGCCTCATTTTCATTGTTTAAGAAACACCCAGAAGTAACTAAACAATAACTGATTGGTTATATTTCCATTTCTAAGAAGAATCTGAGTGGTTCATAATTAAAAATAATGAATCAGAATATGACACTAAGAAACAGAATTATGGAGAACTTACTTCCTAACAAAAGATCTAAATTTGTTGCATTTTTTTTTTCTCCTTACTATAACTGATCATTAAATTTAATTTTGTGGGGGCTTCTGGTTTAAAATGTCTTTCAGATCACAGGACCAGACACAGCATCTCCTATTATTTACTGACATGGACAAATGTCAGACTCTACTAAAAATCCCCTGGAATTATCTTTCCAGTAAGCACAGCACCCTCTCAGACATATGGTATCATCTCTCTTTTTTCAAATTAAGACACCATAATTCAGAAAAATTATCCAATTTGCTTAAGTTAACAAAGATAGCTAGTAGAATTAGGAGTCAAATTATCCCTTTGATTTCAGATCACAAAACAATGTACAAGGAAAGAACAGAAGACAAATATCTCAATAACTCTGAAAACAGAAATGGACAAAACACTGCCAGAGTCAACAGGGATTATTACTAACCATAAGGTTAATGGAACATGCTGGAACCCATGACCACTGACCTTTACCCCTACCCCAGTGTCTGCTGAGGCTCACAGTGTCTAAATAAACTGTACAGGCATCCATTTCTCGTGTGAACTCCTGCTTTCAGGGCAGCCGGAGCACTGATCCACTTTCCTTCTCACTTCTGTTTACACTCAGAAACCACAAGTCCAACAGAGCAATAGAGTAGGAAGAAGGTAGAAGAGATTGAGCACAAGCTCTAAGATTTGCTTTAAGCAGGAATAAAGTCAGGTACATGTTCCACTGTAGGGCACACTGGATGGTGCAGCTTTCCTACTTCTCCATTTGGATAGTCACATTGGGAGTGGGGTCATGTTAGTTGGATGCTAGCTTAGAAGCAATGCATTTAAAGTTACCCTCACTCAACCTATGGGTATTAGGCTGCCTTCCTCCCTCCCTCCTTCCCTGTCCCCTTTTCCCCTTCCTAGTGGTGCAGAGAACCCTGGGTAAGGTTAAATAAATGTAGCATATTTAAGGAAAGCCTCATAGATCAAAAGTCATTTGAGCAGAGACCTGCTTAAAGTGAGAGTGGGCAGCAGCCACCTGGAGAGAAGCATTCCAGAGAGGCAGCGAATACTGCTAGTGGGTTGTGGAGGTATTTGCACATTCACAGAACAGGACAGGACAGAGACTACTGGGTTGATCACAGTGAACAAAATAGGAGGGAGTCTGAGATAAGAAGCACAGCTGGGGAAGGCGGGAGCAGCAGATAATGTCATCTCTGGGGCCATTGTAAGAATTTGGGACTTCTCTCTGAGTAAGAGGAGAGACTAGGAGAGAATTTTCATAATGTGATCTGATTTAGATTTAAACTCATCACACTGGTTGTTGCAGAGAATATACAGAAAAACAAGAGTGAAGGAAGATTTCCAACTTATTAAAATAAACCTGCATACATGGTAGTGGTGGTAGGAGAGGATTTATGAGAAGTAGTTAGATTCTGAGTGTTTTTAAAAGATATTGACAATGATACTTGGCTTATGAATATATGAGAGGAGGAACTCCAAAACAGACATCAAGGCTTTTGATCAAGGCTTTCAAACTAAAAGTTTGAAATTTTATTTACTGAAATAAAAAGACAGAAGAAAGGGGAAGCTGGGTGGGAAATTAATATTAACCTACAATTAATTTAATATATACTCATGTAGATCTGCCACTTCAAAGTGGACAATTCTCTTCCCTGCTTATAGATCTCATTTGCTGAGGAAAGTTAAGGGTGCTAGGGGTATAGCTTAAAGCATTTCAGCTTGGCAACATGATGGGAAGCATCACAGTCTTCCAGCAACTCTGGCGGACACCAGAAATTATGTAGGACCACTCATCTGCTTACATTTTTTGTTGGAACTTATCCTGTGACAAGTAACTTCCAGCTATATGCTACCCATCGGATTAACTTTTCTCTGTTCACCCAACTTTGCCATATGTAATAACCATTTGCTCTTAAATGTTGACCTTGATCTATGTAGTGACAACTGATAGCTGCTTAAAACAAATTTGACCATTATTTTGGCAGTTTATTGTGCTTTTGTGCTATCTTAAATATGTAGCATTTGTCTGAACTACTGTTCTGCAGGTGGAAATATTCCTGTCCTAGATATCTGTCTATGATTAATGGGCCAATAAACTCCTGAAACAATGGAACATAACATGCCTGGCTCCTGGGGACACTTACTGTCACATGCTCATTGCTGCAAGATGGATGAGCTTCCAGTCTCAGGTTGTTAAAAGTTAGGGTGATCCGCCTTCCTTCCTGCACCATGAGTCTCCACTCGCAGATCCTGCCATGAGGATTTGGGTTCAGGTAGTTGGGAGAAATAAATGTTCCAATAGGGCCCTGCAGATCCCCACCACAATCTGAAGGGAGGACAAAGCAAGACAATTGTTCAATCAATCAAAATAACCCCTTCTGTAAAAAATAGTTTTCAAAACTAAAGGACTTTTTAATTATTATTATCTGAATAAACAAACTCATTGCTCTTTTACCGCTATATATATGTAAGGACTTTCAGAGAACATTTATATTCAGTTTCTATCTCTAATATTTAACATTTACTCTTTGTTTCCATGGATGATATTTCACTGGCAAAATTTTATCATCATGGCCCCCAAAATATGAAAGACCAATAAATGTAGTAATCATAAGGCTTAGAAAGGTCACATGGTTAAAATAGCCAGATTTTTTTAGGCCAGATAATTATTCCACCTGACTTTGTCAGGAAATTTGGAATGCAAGTTCTGCATAACTCTAAGATGAAAGCACTGTCCTGCTTGAGATTGGATACTGCAGTACAACTCTCATTTCCTTACATCTCCCACAGCACCAGTTATTTTAAATTATAGCATGGATCATAGTTGAGGTTCTTCATTCATTAATGTGGCTCTTTCACTAATGACTATTTCTCCACTAAGTTCCAAGAATATGGGTGACAAGTTTTTCCCCAGCTATTGTAACACTATTGTGCACCAACTATTGTGCTTATTTAGTGACTAACCTGCATAGGTGTTCAAATATCCATATAATAGTTTAGTGAGTCAATGATCTTACCTTCTATACTGGATATAAACTGTATTCTGAATCCTGACGCAGCAAGGGAGCCATCTGTAACAAACCTTACCAAAGCAACATTGCTAGACGTATCTATATTGCCAGGAACAATATTTCCGCAGTATCTGCCCAATAAATTTCCTGTAGTAAGCACAAAGTTAAATATGTTTATATCCAGGTAACTGATTTTGTTTAACCTGTATTTGAGGTATTTTGTTTCTAAGAATAAGACAATCCCCTATCCATGAAGAAATGGTAAACTTAACAGAAGCAAGACACACATGAATAAAAATCAAAGTATTTATTACTTTGGCTATGATCAAGCATAAAAATCAATATATTCAATATTGATACTGCAACTAATTTGTGCAAAAGCCTCTTAGCACAATAAAGAAGGCTTTCTCAGATGGTTAAAGAAATAACCCTGGGCAACAGGAGACAAACAGCCATCTCATACATTAGCCTTCCCTTTCTTTACAGGATAGCTTGAAATAACTGCTAGTGGCAATGGAAGGTCTCAGCAGGAAGAAGATACCTTCACAATGCAGTGCTCTTTCAGAACAATCTCCAGTGTAAGTTATAAAATGATACCTTGTTTACAGATGGTACTGAGGGAGAAAAAATTTGGCACTTTCCAGACCTAACTGATCTGCACATCTCTCCAAAAAAATAGACATAGATTTTTCTTTCTTGTAAGTAAGGAAATGCTAGCGGTTGAATGAATGAAAATGAATAAAATATGTGAAATAAATAAGTGGAAATAAACCCCAAAAGACAGCAGATATATTTCACTGACCAGAGGTATGGCCTTCCCAGATCTCCACAAAGTCTTTTTCACAATCAGAAGAATTTTGAAGGTTAAAGTGTTCAAAGTGGATGGTAAGGTAATGTCCTGAGGGACCTTGGAGATGCCACTGGCAGAATAAATTGTCTGTATAGGGAAGTGTTGGGTAGCCGATGCTTTCAATGACACCACTTTGCCCTGTCACAGTTCCCCCGCACTGAGCTGCAAAAAAAAAAAAGAATAATATGTTATTACAGACCTTTTTCATCAGTATATTTTTAAAATTGTAGGTGTCAAGTGAATATGAAGATTTTAAATTCTGAAAATGTTTAGTTAGTGAAGCCTTTCTTATTTGAAACCTGTTACTGATATACAGAGAAATTAACCAGAATTCTCTGCTCCAATAATGGGAAATGGAAGACTGAAAAGCTGTTGAATGGCATATTCAGTAATGTCATTGAATTCTCTTGGGACATTATGTAGGAGCTATTAGTGGCAAGTAGGTTTTATTTCAAGAGCCGATAGATTGATAGCACTGGCCCTATATTATTATTCCCAAAGACTGGCCGTAAGGGGGGCTATGGCTGATTATGGACGCTTGGTAACTCCACTTTAACGATTAATATTTAACAAATATTATACTGCTGTATCTTGTATCTCTGGGTCTTGAAAATTATTGTCCAACTATTCTTATCAGTTGCATATGAAAGTCAGATTGAAATATATATGCTCTGTCTCAGGTTTAAAACAACAAATAACTAAGTAAAACCAGGTTAAGTATAGCTACAACTAGGATTTCCAATTTTGGAATATCTTTAATGTTTGATTAGTGTCTAGATCCACCAGATACCAAATTCTACACAATTGTGAACATAGTTCAGTGAATCTACAAGATACAAGTTTATTGTTCATTTTTGAAAGAACAGAAATAAAAGCACTAAGGAGACACACTTGTCTTTTACCCAGTGAATGACACTAAAGACTAGAGGAAAATTCTCAATCATTTATTAATAGAGAGGAGTTCAAAGTCTCTTTTCTACTCTTTGATAATACTAATTTTTTTAAATTTGATTTGATAGGTACATAATGTTAACTATTTCATAATAAGAGGAAAAAAGAATTTGAAATAAAATTGTTTTCCACAAACAAGCTAGCAAAAATACAAAATATTCAATGTTACTATAGAGGGTTAAAATAGATCAAAGTAAAAATTAGAATTGGCAAATGAATTTGTGAATTCAAACACATTCCTTATTTACATTCCTTATTTCTATCAGTAAAATTACAAACATTTAGGCAGATAGAAAATCTTTTAAAATATATGATTTTCAAAAGAAGTTTTAGTGTATTAATTCCATCCTACTGTCTTTATTGAATATAAAAAATGTTGTTACCTATGGAATATTTGGCCTTGAATCCCACATGAGTAGAACTGTTGTCAGTCTGGAACCGCAAATACATCACCTCCCTGGAAGACAACTGATTGTTGGGCAAGGAGCTCCCACAGAATTTGGAAAGTATTGGTGCATTTGAATCAGATCCATCTCTCAACTCAAGATAATTAGAAGTGCAGCTAATATAGAAAGAAAATTCTGTTTACCATACAAAGTCAATGACTTCACATATTTTGATAACAAAAATCTCACTAACATTCTCTGACCTCATTACTGAATCATTTCTGTAGCAAAAGACAGGAAGACAGAGCATCTTAAGTGTTGTGCCACTTCACATGCTGTATATTTTCCCTAATCATAACACATTGTTTTAGTCAGTAGCTCAAAGGTAGGTTTTACATGTACCATTTGAAGAATATTTACTTGCTTTCTGTATTTTTAATTCCTTGTACAAACATAGACATCATTATCACATTATCCCTTAGGAATTTCAAAAAAAAACAAAACTCAAGCATTTCCTCTTATCTGATAGTATGACACATATCACATAAGAAAGATGAACTCTCCATCTATGTGAGCTAATGGACTGTTTTAGCTAGAATTTTCTGGGTCCATAAAAGAAGGAAAATACACTTCTTGAGATAGCCAATCAGCCAACCATGCAGGGTGATGGGGGAATGGCGTGATATATCAGGTGTGCAGGAAAGTAAGCAAATGTTCTTCTAAGTTTCACACCATGCATACAATTGTGCAAATGTACACATGCTTTTGTTAAATGAAGAGAAAAATACAGGTTTTTTCCAGTTCATGTAACTATCCTCTTTGTGTTCAACACAGTAAGACCTACTCTTGGCTTTGTAACACTTTAAGGATTCTTATTAAATAGGTGCTGGGAAACTGCACTTGCTTTGTCCTGTTGCTGACATTAGTGTCTCCTGCTATTATATAATACAAATGCCTATTTTCTAAACACATATATTTACCATTTATGGTACCGAGTATGAAGCTAAGCAAATAAATATTAATCTATCAGGCATACTGTATGTTCCCTAAGGGAGGAAATACAAGTAACAAATCTCAAACCTTCATCCTCTGGGACCTATGTGGGATGTGCCTAGGGTCACAAAGGACACTCTGTGAACATTATCTGCTCAGCTGACAGTAGAGCTACTGTCAGGCAGTGTTTCAGACTTGAGACATTAAGCATTTCCTTTCTCTGTCCCTAGATTCCCTATGCATTATATGTTGCTGAGGAAAGAAAAGAAGTTGTTTTGAGACATGACAGCTAAAGAATACTAACTCTGTGTAGGAGGAAAATTAAATGGAGGTGACCTACTTGGGTGTTACTTCAATATTGAATTGATCTTCGAACTGCAGCCTTATGAGCTTTCCAGGAGGAGCAGCTAAGAGCCAAATGCAATCAGCATTCTGGGGATAATTATCAGGATGGTTGGGGGAGGTCACATATCCAGCAGAATCTGTATCATGGATGTAGATGTTGCCCCCACAGGCTGTCAGGAAACACAGTTAAATCAATCCACAGTCTGGAGGAAAGCACTGTCACTTTTTCAAGACATTTATCAGTATTTCTGTTCTCAATTGCCTGCATTTGAAATTATGCTCATTTTCTTTCTTTTTTTTTTTTTTAAAGATTTATTTATTTATTCATACAGAACTGGGGTACAGGCCAGAGATGCAGAGGGTGAGAGGATTCACCAGAGACAGTGGGGTACAGAACAGGCAGATCGACGAAGTACACTGCTGAGGGGAGCAGTGGGCGGGTCAGGAGAGGTCTGCCTCGCCATGTGGATCTCCTCCGGGGCAGGCAGGGATCGTACTCATGCGAAGTGGCTTAAGCTTCTCAGTGCAGTGCTTTTAACCCGCTGCGCCACCAGAGAGGGCCCTCTTTCTTTTTTTTTTTTTTTAAAGATTTATTTATTTATTCATACAGAACTGGGGTACAGGCCAGAGATGCAGAGGGTGAGAGGATTCACCAGAGACAGTGGGGTACAGAACAGGCAGATCGACGAAGTACACTGCTGAGGGGAGCAGCGGGCGGGCCAGGAGAGGTCTGCCACGCCATGTGGTCACCTCTGGGGCAGGCGGGAATCGAACTCATTTGGAAGTAACTCAAGCCTCTTAGTACTGTGCTTTAACCCACTGCGCCACCAGGGAGAGCCTCATTTCCTTTTTAGGAAAATAAATCCTTAATTTTGTAATTGAGATACTTATCCAGTGTGTCACCTTCAAATATGCCAAATCATATGTTCTCTTTTGGAAATTTTATATTTCCTTGAATTCAACAAATGCACAGAGCCAGCAGAACATTATGAAAGCATTAAAACACATCAACCACTCAGATAAGTTTGTAAATGTGCTAACACTTATAGCTGCCCACTGACTATACATTAAAAAGGATGATGTTTCAGAGGTGGGGAGGCGCATGTTTAAAAGTGTAGGTAGTTATATATTTGTACAACTCTGTGGGCATTTGTTCATTGTATTTCTTCAGAATTTGGGTGGATTTGCAGAGCAAGAAATAAACAGCATGAATGCATTAGTTTTTGCAAGAAGAGAAATAATACTTTATATGCTTTTCTAAAAAAGCCAAAATACTTTCCGTTTTATCAACAACCATTTGTTGGCCATCACAGCAAATAAATCAGACAGGAGTAGACTGGATACTGATCTTGCCAATAAAATTAACCTGTTAAAAGATTTAACCTCACAGACACCAGATCTAATCAATTCTATTGACATTTACTTCCACTGTCATTAAGCCCTTTATGGTCATAGCCTCAATTTTTTCATTACTCAGAATTCTGTCATCTTTGAAACCCTAAGTTGCAAATTTTCATAACTGAATTTGACTCCCTTGCTTTTAGTCCTCCCTTCAGACAATGCTTGTAAAATGCTGCTATTTGAAATTTGACCTATTCTTTAAAAAACTTTCTTCTCTAATCACAACATACTGCTTAAAGTTCTCATTTAGTAAGAAAATGGAATAAATCAAATGAGTCCTCCTATATTTGTTATCCAGTATTTGTTACCACCCTTAATACTTAATTTGCATTTCCACCTGCCTTTATTTGCATTTCTATAGCCTTTATTTCTTCATTCTGTCCTCTCCTTCCCTCCCCTTCTCTCCCCCTCTTCCTACAGCACTCACCTTTCCATATGTCAACCATTCAATTTCCAGGCATTTTCCTGATTCCTCATCACTCCTTTTTCTCTCATTCCTCCTTTTGTCCAAGTCACTACTTGCCTCATGTTTACATACACAAAAACATTTATCAATCTTAATTTTATATACATGGAATTTGACATGATCTCCCTTCTTTCCAGGTTGTTCCTCAGTTTCTTGCACATTAAACCTTCCACCTCCTTCTTTTATCTCTCTTAGGATTATTTCTTTGGTTGATAAGTGCTTCTTTCCAGGACTTGCCTGTTGTTGCTGGAGAACCCATGAATTCCTGTTTAAGCCCTTATCCTCTCAATCTAAATAGTTCTCTGATTAATGTCATCCTTCTTTGTGAGACAAACTATACCAAGAGAGTTAGTGACAAACAGATATTAATATTTGGTCTATTTATTTATTTCAGTCTTCTGACTTCAAGACTTGTGATCAACAGCCTACTAGAGATCTATGAGAGGTCTGATTCTAAGATTTCAAAGTGACCAGGTCTAAAATTGATCTTATTTACTCACCATGCAGAGTAGCATGTGAGTGAATAATAGTGTCACCTCACCTCATTAACTCTGGATCCATACTCACTACCTTAATTTTCCCCTATATTACTTTTGAAAATATAATGTATTGCATACCTTATTTATTATCTGTATTCCTAAAATTAAAATTAAGCTCCACGATGGCATGGATTTCATTCATGTATATTAGAACTTGAGGCAAATTTTTAATAAATGCTCTGAAGTGCATAAATCCACCCAGCCAGAAACCTAGGGGTTAACTATTGTTCTTTTCATTTCTTCCCTCCCCTCCTGCATCTAATTGGTCTCCAAACACACTCAAGTCTGTATTTAGACTATCTCTCACAATGCTGTTTCTTCTACAGTCTTACTGTTATTACTTTAGCTGAGGACATTATACTTTTTTCCTGAATTACTCTGTCTCCTGGTATCTCTACCTCTTGTCTTCCCCTTCCAATGTGTCTTCAGTGCTGTAGCCACACCAATATTTCCAATTTGATTATAACGTTCATACTTTGCATTAAAATCATTCAGTGCCTCTGCCCCTAACTCCTTGGAGTAGCTTCCACAGTCTTTGGCATTACGATTTCCACTTACTTCATCGCTGTTCTATTTAACCTTTTTTTGAACCTATTCCCCAACAATAATGAATTCTTTCAAATCCCTGGCCATGTCCAAACCATGGAAACTTTATATGTTTATATGTCACATCTTTTCTTCTCTGATTAGCTTATCTGTGTCTACTTCTTCGGAGCTTCCTCTGACCCTGTAAGTCAGACTAGGTGTGTCTCATATTTGGTGACATGGCTACTACTGCCCTCCATCACACCTCTTTAGCATACCATGTTCCCACTGTGCCTTTGTTCTCTGACTCCTCCTCTCCACTGTGAATGCCTTGCCACAACCTGGTAGTTTGTGAAGCTCTTAGTAATTGTTTAATACTCAATGAGTCATTGATTATAAAAAGCACTGACATAGAAATACCAATTGTAAAGAACAAATATCTCAGGAGAAATATGGTATAAAATGAGAGGAATTTGCCATCAAAAGCTATTCATGGAATAATAACACGTGTTAGAGCTCAGAAATGGGCTTGGCACAGAGGTAAGTATGGTACCAAGGCAAATGGAGGAGGTAGAAAGTTGACTACAACTAGGCAAAAAATGGTTGAATTAGTAAGTCAGAAGAAACAAGACTGATCACAATGTAATCAGTAATTTCAAACCCAGTAATAGGTTTTGAAATTAAAAAGTCCTTTTGCCTAATACTAACTGCAGAAAGGTGAGTAAAATGGTCATCCCATTCTCTCACGAACAGAGGGTCTACAAAGGAATAAAAGAGTTACAGTGCTTGCAAACAGATTCTGAATTACCACTAAATGTTGACTTTAAATCTACTTACTAGACAAAAGCACTATTGCTATAAAGTCTTAGTACCATTTTAAAATTTAATGCAATTACCATTCTTACAATGTTTCTATAGTCTAAGGAATTTCAGGGGATCATTAAGTTCAATTTATACTTATGAAGAATTTCAATTTTTATTTACTTCTTGATGTGTGGACTGAAAAAAATCTCTCACTTTACTTGTCTGAATAAATAGAATAGTATTTTTCTTAAAAAGTAGTCATTATAAGTTAATTAATGCATCAAGTGAGCAGTGTTTGTTAGTAGGTAGTTATTCTTGTTAATGTTATTTCTCTAAAATCTGAAGAGATTTAGAATAAAGAGAAATATGAAGAGAAAACTACATATCGTTCTTTAAATCTTTTGAAACAAGGAAGAACAAGTATTTGCTAAAAAAGTATATGCATTATTCCAAGTAAAAATACTTACCTAAACTCTTTGCCTCATATTTGATCTTGAACCCTTGCCCTTCATAACTGTTATCAGAAATAAACTGAACAAACATTTGATTATCTGAGGTAAACAGAGTGGTTGCAGGACGATTGCCACAAAAACGGCCATTTCCTTCATGGGCTCCCAAGGGTGGGGAATGGATATCAGGTCCATTTTTTAACTGGAAAGATAAATTAAAATTGCATAAATTCATTAATATTGAGAAAGATGAAGTGTATATTGATGCATATCCCTGAAGAGAAAAATCATCATTTTATCTACTGAATGACATCTGCACAGAAAGTAATTACAAAAATGTAGCAAGCAAGACCTACCACCAAGTAATCCCCCTGGTTGCAAAAAGAATCTCCATTTGGAATCTGGAAGGGCTGTTCAAAATGGGCAGCGATGGTCAGACCATTCTGAACTAGGACATGCCAAGAGCAGTTCAGGTTGGGAGAGTAGTTGTCTGGATAATTGGGTGATGTTATAATCCCTCTGTCTGCATGCAAATACCCACCACAACCTTCAAAAAGAAAACAGAGGTAAGTTATTTAAATGAAATCAGCTATTGGATTTTTTTTTTTTTTTGGTAACATTGGCTTATGGAAGTGAAAACTGACTGCCTAATTCCAAAGTCCATTCTCTGAAACAACCATGTAGCATGACTCTTTTGAGTGTGAAGATAACTTCTCATCTACTCCATAAAATATATAATAGTGAAGGAAATATTAATTTTAATGCCTACTTGAGAATCTACTTTAAAATTCTAGTTTTCAGTAAAAAAGCATGAATCTGGTGATAGTCTATGTTTCATAGACTGCTTCTTTAATCTAGTTTGGATGGAAAGTTATGGTTGGGCTTTACATTTTATTAAGTTTTGAAAGTCTTAATCATGCTACATATGACAGTCTCCTATATATTGTGCACATTCTTTAACTCATCAAAATTCATATTTCCAACAAACTCTCCCTGACAACATTTGTCAGGGATTATTTCAACCAAGGAATGTATGAAGGTATCTTCTCTTTACTCAGACCAATTATTCCTTAGATTAGCCATGAGTCTGATTTATTGCTCCTATGAAGTTGGGGATATATGCCCTCTGCTAGTTCCCAACCTCCTGCTAGGCTGAAAATTGTCCAGATCTCATTCTCATGCCCACCATGAATATACACACGCCCTTTGAGAGAAAGATGCTCTATCCAGAGATCTGAAACCAGAGAACTTCTGCACATTTGACCACAGGATTTTTGTTTTGTTTTGTTTTTGCTGTTTTAATGTTAGGCATTCAAAACCTGATCTAAAGATAGCTCTACCTGGTGTTCTGAACTCTAAGCTGTGACCTAGCAAGCAAAAATGAGCAGAGTATATTAGGGAGAGAGAAAGAGACTGAATCAAGGTGAGATGAGATTAAAAGTAAAAAACTACTTGAACATATTACTCTTGTGTAAAGATGCATTAAATCCTGCCCTGGAGACACTTAAGTCAGAGGTGAATCGGATCAACATGTACTCTCCAGTAGATCGGATAGGCCCAGGGATCTCTTTGCCACAGAGGACTGCTAGCCGTTCAGCCATGTTATTATCTCCTATGAAAAAGGAGAATGAACATCAATGTGGAAATATAAAACCTTTAAATATCCTACATCAACATTAAGAATCTGCTGAGGTGGCTCACACATTTTCCCCTGAACAGCACCATAACTACCAGATAATGAGATTCATAAATACAAGGACACTCCAGGATCACACCATGCTCCATTTCCTAATCACCTGCCTTTTCTTTTACCCTTTCTAAAAATTGGCTAACAGTTCTTCCTGATGCTGAAACACAGACTCAGAGTAAATAGGGTCAGAATGTGACTGAAAACTCATGCTGATGTGTATGATAGACTGAGCTAAATTATAAATTACTCTGATTGCTGAAGGTTAAGTACTGTTCTTCAGCCTCAGAACCTACACTAAAGTTATAAGTAGTTTTCTACGTGTTAAGCACTATTTATACCACCCTTTCTACAGTTTTAGTGAGTTTTAAAAAAGAATTGTTTACTTTTCATTTGTTTATTGTTATTAATTTTGCTACTAGAAGAACATACTTACATCTACATGTCAAGGATAAAAAGACACACTGAGGAAATATGCCCTTCCAGGAAGAGATACAGACAGGAACTGGGACTCCGCGTGGTTATTTTACTTTTTGCTTCACTATGACACTCGTTTCAATAAAAGCAACTATACCAATCAAAGCCAGAATGGAGCAAGAGGATTATAAAAGATTATATTCTTTGGCTTTGAAAATGCATCGTTCTTTTCCTAACACAGAGATTAAATGAATTCTAATTTATAAAAAACAAAAACAGAATATGAGACATGAGGAAACTTGTCTTTTAACACAATTAGCAAAATGAATCCCTTTTGATATTGACACTACCTAAAGCTATTATTGACTATTTTAAAGACAAGTTATTTTTTTTTATTTATTACAAAAGTTTATTTTTACATCATTTTGCACATTTTTTTTTTCCATCTCAATTATAATCCCCACGGGTTTCCCGTCACCAAATCACCCGTGCCGTGTGCCACCACCATAATCCCATGAATTTCCCTCCCCCCCCCGTTTTTGATCCCATTCCCCACTCCACCCCCACAAAATGTCTCTGGTATATGGTTGTTCATTATTTTTGTTATTTTCTTGCCTGGTCCATTATACTCCTGCTATGAGTGAAACCATCCGGTATTTTTCTTTCTCTTTCTGGCTTATCTCACTAAGCATGATCTTTTCCAGCTCCATCCAAGTTGCTGCAAAAGACATGTGTTTCTCTTTTTTGGTTGCTGAGTAATATTCCATTGTATATATGTACCACATCTTTTTTATCCAGTCATCTACTTTTGGGCATTTGGGCTACTTCCATGCTTTTCCAATTGTAAATAAAGCAGCAATAAACATGGGGGTACAAGTATCTTTTTCAATCAGTGTTTTTGTGAAAGACAAGTTACTTTTAGCTTCCAAATTATTTAATGAAAATGATATTTAACCTACAGAAGAGTTTCCATAAGATGATACATGACATTTTCATTCATCAAGGTCATTTTTTTTTTTTGTAATACAAAATCTGCACACTTACTGTCTCCTAAATTTGTGCTTGTGTGTATGTGGTAGGGGGAGGCTCTGAGAAACAGTTTGCATTTTTCATGTTTCAATTCATGTACAATAAATGTCACCAACCTTCTCACACCTGTGAGAATTACCCATATAGAAAAAAATACTTGCTAGCATGAAAGTAGAGAAAAGGAACTTCTGACACTATTGGTGGTAATGTAAACTGGCATGGCCACATGGAAAGCTATGTGAAGGGCCCTTAAAACACTAAAATGGATCTACCGTATGACCCAACAATTCTACTCCTAGTACTTGCCCAAAGAGCACAAAAATAATAATTTGAGTGGAAACCTGCATGCCTAGATTTACTGCTGCACTGTTAACATTGGCCAGGAAATGGAGGCAATGTAAATGACTCAAAACAGAAGAATGGATCAAGAAGATACGGACTACCTTCTCTGCCATAAAAACATCCACTCTTGCCATTTATGGCAATATGTGTTAGGATGGAAGGGATTATGCTAAGTAAAATAAGGTAAAGGAAGAAACACAAATACCAGATGGTTTCACTTATTTGTGGAATGTAGAGAAACCAAGCAAAGGGTTTGTCAGACAATGACAAACCTTCAAAGCTGACCATAGATCTGAGGCATCCAAGAGGGGTGATACCAGGAGAGGGAAGAGCACATTGGCCTATGACTAAAGCTACCAGGGTCTGTGTGCAGTAGTAGTGTGGAAACAAGAGATCCAAGAGTGATTATTGGGGCTTTGGTGGTGACTGTGGTGAAACAACATACTTTTGGAGAGGTCTAAACTTATATGCCTAAGAAATATACCATGAAGTAAATCAGCATTACCTCAATGAATATAACTTCAGGGGAAAAAAATGTTATTTTTTGTGATTATAAATGGAATGGAATGTCTACAAATGCAAGACACTTTAAAAGGCTTACTTTGGGGGGGGGGGTTCTGATCTCAGAAGACTTTTTTTTATAGTACAAATGTTTAACATTTTTTACACTTACTATCTTCATTATGTTATTTTGCTCACATTTCCCTTCAACTTGCTTTTAACTTTTTCTCCAATTAACTGTATCACAAAATCATGAACTTCAACAATGTAGTTTTGCATATGTGTATATTTTACATTTCATAAGACTGTGTAGGATTTACTGATTTTGACTTACTTTCTATACCTTAATGAATTTTGCCTGATAAGAAGTACTCTCTGTAAATAATTATTCATTAAGTAACTGATTAATTGTTTGATAAATCAATGTTGTTTGTTCTTCCCCACAGTATCCATAGTAAATATTGGAGTATTTCTATAACTTTCCATAACCTCAATATATTGATGGGATGATAGATGAACCTTATCTGTAAAGAGAAGGGCTAATGGGAAAATACGCCTATATATGGTATTCTAGATGGTATTCTGGTGATTCTCTATAGTCCTGCTCACTTTAGAAGTATGGAAACTGAGAGCTGAAGATTGCTAGTAGTTGACATTTTTTAAGCCACACTTTGTACCACTATTTATTCCTTTGAGTGTCCTACACGTAATATTTTGTCTTCACAATAACAGATTATGTGGTTATTATTATCATTAGTTTGTTGTTTAAAAAAAACTGTCTTAAAAAAGATACATAACTTGCTGAAAGGTATAGAATATAAATATTAGTCAGGATAAAAACCATAGCTAATTAACACTAAATGCTCTACCTATGTTATTAAATGACTTATTTAAGGTTATAAAGAAAGTACATTTCAGATCTATGAATAGATAAAAAGACTACTGATTTGGATGCATAGTTTTCTTTAAAAAAAAAAAAAACAAACTTTTCTATACCCATTGTAATTTCAACAGACCTCAGTTCAGGGGAATCTTTGGTATGCAAAATTTTTTGGAACACAGTCTGGAAAAGACTGATTCAGTTTTGAACTATGAAAATAACTCTACAAAATGAAAAAGCAGGTGGGGGTAGTGATTCAGCTCTTTCAGGAAGGCTGCAGGGTTCTTTCTGGGTTGGCCAAGGAATGTCCAGTCATCATAGGACCCAAGGCGAAGGGCCAAGGGTGTGTGATGACCAGTGAAGTACTTTATAAGCAGGGATGGTTGTGACCAATTGGCTTTAGATATTTACTTCAGAATGTCACACGCTTCTGGTACCCAGAGACAAAAAACTGATCAGACAATGAACAAATAACTCAAGTGGGACTTAAAATGGATGGGTACTCACATTGTTAGTAAGAAAAAGGAGTCATATAAGACTGATTTTATTTTTCACCTCAGTTCATGTATATGATTAATTTTAAGTTATATATAGATATATATATTAATTTTAGCTTATATATTAACTAACTATAAATATAGATCTAGATCTAGATATAGGTTATATATAGATATAGCTGAGAAATATTAGAGTCTGATGACTAAGTCACAGGATCTAGAGCCAGATCCAGTTTCAAATTCTTCTCTAAATACTTTCACTTCTTTTGCCCTTACACTGTGTTATTTCTTATTGAGGTAATATAGGTTTGTATACTGTGTGAGGTATAGGTTCATACCTCTTAAGACACATGTTACCATACAAACCACCAAAACAATACTTTGATTGATCTGGCATATACCACAGATGGTTGAGTTTTCTCAAGTAGATCTGTGTCACAGTAAGTTCACTTTCATTCTGTAAAAAGGATATGATAAAACCTTCCAGAAATATTTCTATCCAAATTGGTATCTAAATAAAACTATTCTGAATTCTGCATCAACAAAATGTGAGTACTTTTGCTAGAGAGCTTTAACTTCATTATTTTCCCTGATCCTCATGACAGATCAGATATTAGTTTCTTTTTTACAGAAAATAAAATAGACTCGAGGTCATTTAGTGACATGTTGAAGATCACACAGAAGAGAAAAATGGACAGTTTAGTTTCCTGGGTTTGAAATTCCAAGAAAAATTATTGATGGAACAAATATCAATTCAATAGAAAGTGATTTCTTAAATAACAGCTATAATTTACATTTGATGTAGATTTTTAAAAATTTCTTCCCTTCCTAGTTTGAACACTTGGACTGTGTGTGCAAGGATACACATTTCAAAACATGATTAACTATAAATTTTAACATCCATAGGAATACCTTGATATGAGGAAAGATGATAGTTCTTCTGGGAGATGTGCTGATAGTTGAATTGTTGATAAAAAATAAGGGATAAGTTCTGGTTTATCATCTCATCTAATGTATTTGTATTGTACTGATTTGTCTTTATTTAGTGTCTAATCTCAACAGACAGAAAGTAAAACATTGCTACCATTGATTTTTCTCTCTATACTTAGAATGAGTCTAAGTTTGAGGGACTAAATAAGACAAAACTTGCATGCTATCAACTTGTGAACCAAAAGCAAATACTTATTGGATTTGTCCACAAAATGAGTTGAAGTATTTTCATTATTTTCACAAATTTAACAATTGGGGAATTTCTCATTTCTCATAGAAATTAAGAAAAACCATAATACTCATCCTGCATTCCTAGCCACTGCCTCTTTAATGGTTTTCCAGTTTAACGCTTCACTAAAATCTTACCTGCCATGTAAACAGACACTTGGGATTACAATATCTTTATCACTAAGAGCAGTGGTTCTCAGTCTTTAGAGACCACCTCGAGGTGGAGATGAGGGCCAGGCAAGTGAAACATTCACATTATAGGCAATATTTAGGGAGCTATCAATGTTTTCTGAAATCAAAATAAGCATTTCAGTGCAATATTTTAAAAATTGAAATGTAATATAAAATTATACAGATATCAAAATTAGAAATAAAGGTAGGCTCTGACTACACTGTGCACAATCTTGTCTATTTTCCTCATCCTAACTCAGCCCTGCCTGGAGGGGTTTTTATTATTCTTTATTATTGAGGCAACATAGGTTTACAACACTGTATGCTTCAGAGGTATAGGATCACACTCTATCATCCATACTGGCTCCCACAGTCCTCCACTGTAGTCCACTGCACACCCTCACACTCTGCTGTCCCAGCATTCCTTCGATAGCTTTGATTCCTCAGTCAGATGTCAATTAAATACTTCCCTAGCATTCTTCCGAAATTGTAGCCAACTCTAGCATTTGGTACCTTTACTGACTTCTGTGAAATCCCATGCAAAATTGAATAAATAAGTATTACTATAATTGAATGTAAATAAATTGTGTCAAGTTTAAAACTGGTAGGTTTTTTTTTTTAATTTCTTACCATCTATTACCACAAGTTTATCATAATCACATGTTCTATGAGATTCGATGTCCATGGAAAGAATATTGAGTTCCACAGTAGAATCAGGAGCTTGGATAAGCCATGAACAGTCAGCATTATTACTGTAGCTTTCAGGCCAGAGTGGGGAAAAAAGAAAGATGGGTGTATCTCCGGTCCTCAGGAATCCACCACAAGCACCTAGAGAATGAAAAACAGTATCTTTGAAATACCACCAATGGAAAATTTACAAGCACTGTCACCTTCAAGTGGCCACCTATTCTGAAATGGAACAATTCAAATAATTTTTTAAAGAAATCTGTACTGTATTAAACCCACTGAGAGCGGTGATTTCCACAATTTTTTGTGTGTAAGAAACACATATTGTATTTTATTTTTCCACTTTTATTCATTTACTATTTGTTAAGCATGAAGTAACTGGATAAGTACTCCATTAAATGGACATGCTTCATTAAGTTTTCACCAGTTTTTGACATTTGGGTTGTTTCCCACTTTTCATTATTCTGAATATTGTTTCCATGAGCATTTATGTGAAAATGTTTTAGACATATGTTTCAATTCTCCTAGATATATAAATAGGATTTATATTTTTAATATAAATACATGTAATTTTCGTTTTTCTTTTTCTTTTCCTTTGGGTAGGAAAACTAAGCTATCAGCAAGTTCATCGAGTCTATTTAGTGCTTTCAAATCTGCCATTGTGGCCCTCCAGTCAATTTTTATTTTAGTTCCTGAACCTTTAAATCCGAGAATTTCTAGCTGGCTGTCTTCTTTATAGTAACAGCTATCCTTTTGTCAATAAGCTCTATTTGATAACACATGATTCCAGATTTTCCTTTAATTTTTAGACTTAGTTACTTTTTGCTAACATATTTAAATTAGGTAACATAAAGTCTGACAGTAAGCATAACACCTTGGCTATCTCCAGCAGTTTTTTTTTTTAAAGATTTGTTTATTTATGCATATAGAACTGGGGTACAGGCCATAAGTGCAGGGGCAGTGAGAGGATTCACCAGAGACAAGAGACAGAGTGGGGAGCAGAACAGGCAGATCGACAAAGTACAATGCTGAGGGGAGCAGCGGGCGGGTCAGGAGAGGTCTGCCGCTCCGCCATGTGGGTTATCTTTGGCTGAAGTGGCTTTAGCTTCTTACTGCTGTGCTTTAACCCACTGTGCCACCAGAGCGGCCCCACCAGCAGTTTTTATCAATTGCATTTTTTCCTTTATACATACATATTTTTCTATTTCTTTGTTTGTTTCAGGATTTTTGCTTGAAAACTGGACAATTTAATACAATGTGGTAACTAGATATCAACCCTTCTCTCTAGCTTGTTACTGCTATTTTAACTTCTGTGCTTTAATTCTGTAATGTCTGTATTCAGTTTTGAGTGCAGCCATTGAAAGCCTGTGTTCAGGTTAGTGGTGAATCACAATTAGACAAACAGTTCTTTCAATGCCTTGAAACAATAATTCTCTCAGTATTTTCTTGGGGATTCTGTACGTGACACGTTAGGTAGAGCATTTGCCTGTGAGTCTCTACCAGCTTACAACTCTGCCTTATTCTTCACTCACTTATTCTTCACTGCACAGAGCTTCCTCATAGAGGTGAAAAAGTGAGCCCATCTTGGGCCTTTTCTTAAGCATGCACCCAGCCCTACACATGTGAGCAGTTTTCTAGAATCCCAACAATCATGCCAAAGTTTTTCAAAGTCCCCTACAGATTTCTCACTCTTCAGTTTTCCCTTTTACATTTTGGTCAGCCTTACCTTAGCCACGAGTGCTATCACTACCACAGGGTTGTGGTGATAAACAATTACAACCAATTACTTTCAACAAACACTGTAGGGGTAGGGCTATTGGCACAACATGTCAAACAAAGATATATCCCAATAATGGGTCTTTTCTAAGAAGATAAATCAAATAATGGAAATTCTTCAGGGATGTTTTCTTAAACTCCAAGCCTGCCTTACCTTTTCCAGTGGACCTAAGCTACAGTTTTCACAGATACAATAGTTGTGAGGTTAGTAAAAGGCTATTACAAAGTTGGTGCAGGGGAAGAAACAGTAATAGAGAACATTAGCATGCTCTCGCTAAGACACAGCCATTTTTCTTGGCTTACATAAATCCATTTCCTATAAGGAATTTCATTTTATTACCAAACTCACCTGTAGCAATGGTAGGTAAAGGTCCATTTACCAAAGAGTCATTCACTGCAAGCCACTCCAGAAGGAATCCTTTCCCTGAGACTGAAGAGTCAGAAGAAAACTGAAATGTCAAAGAACTTCTAGTGGAGATAAAAGATTCCGTCTGGGTACCACAGTAAGTTCCAATTAAGCGGGAGTGTGTGCCAAACCCATCGTAAACCTGTATATAAGAAAGACAGTAGAGCGCTGAGTATCATCAATTTGTAAGTTTTTCTTCATAAAAAGAAAACTAAAATCTGTCTTACATTATTACAATATTGTGATAATGGAAAAACAATAGACAAACATTATATAACAGTCTAAAATAGGTGCCATTAAATATAAATGATTACAATTAAGTTAATGCATCTTAAAATTATTTATATAGATTTGATGCAGAACTTTATTAATAAATGTATTTATTCAATATGTGATTTACAGTAAAATTTTTGGGTAGAAGAATAGGCACCAGGAGAGCTATACAACATCACATAATGAATATGCTTTGCAGTTTCTAAAGGAACTTTTATAAACAACCTCCCAACCACTGTTTACCAAAGGAATTAACATGTCTTTAAAATAGCAAGATGAAAGTTTAAAATTCAGGTCAATTTTACCTTAAAAAGCAGAAAAACACAACAATAAAGAAGAAAGGTTTAGTGAAAGAAATTGGACAAAGGGTAAAAATTCAGTTACAGAAGATGAATTATTTTGGTGGTGTAATATATAGTAATGTAATTATAATTAGCAATGCTGTATAGTATACTTGAAATTTGCTACAAGGGTATTAGGTCTCAAGTATTCTTTGTAATCCAACCTCCCAAAAACAAAACAATAATAACCTTGTGAAGTATGAATATGTTAATTTGCTTGGCAGTAGTAACTTTATACTTTAGACATACAGTGTACATCATATAGTACATTGAGTGTACATCAAGCAATATACTTTCAATAATACTTGTCAATTAAACTTCAATTAAAATTGAAAAGGAATGTCTTAATGTTTCTGGAACTGGTATAATAAGGGGGTCTGAATGACACAATTACCGCAATTTTTATATTAATTATTTTTAAACGGCCCTTATTTTTTTTAAATTTATTTTTATTTACCTATGCATACAAGAAGTGGGATATAGGGCTGAGGTATAGGGGGTGAGAAGATTTACCAGCGACAGAGTGGGGAGCAGAAAAGGAAGAACTCTAAAATATATTGCTGAGGGGAAGTATAGACAGGAGAGGTCTGCTTTGCCATGTGGGTCAGCTCCCAGGCCAGGGATTAAACTCATGTCACAGTGGCTGAAGATAGTTTCAGAGTGCTGAGACTTAACCCCTTGTGCCACCAGGGAGACCCTGGCCTTTAAACTTTTGAAACGCTATAAGAATAAACAGGATAATTGGATATAAAAATACAAGAAATTCTAGAGTAATATATACATAACTAAGTTAGATATACTTAGATAAAGCCCAATAGATAAATTACAATAATGCTAAAAAAAATACATCTTAAAAACAATGGAAGATAATAAGGACAATATCAGAATAATCATTGCACAGGTAATCTAGAGGTGTTAATCATAATTTTGGGCATATGAATTGGGGCAAACCATCCCATGTGATTTTCAAATGCTTGAATAAAGAGTAACTTAGATTTACTTCAGCAAGTAGAAATTCACCAAAATTTATAAATCTACATTACACTCAAAACTCACCCGCAATTTGTCATAGTAGCAGTTTTGTGTTGCTTCAATGTCCATCTCCAAGATTCTACCATGGATAATTTGAGATGTGTTCACATTTACTATCCATTGGTAATTGGAGTTGTGGGGGTACTTTCCAGGCCAAAAAGGAGAGGCAATTTTCCCATGACTTCCTACAATATTATCATTGCCAAATACTGGAAGGGAAGCGCAGTCATAAATCAGACTTATGGAGAACAGCTCTTTAATCAAATGAAAGAACAAAAGGCAAAGGATATAGAAAAGGATGGGCTTTTAATTGACTGTGATTTCTTTTCTAAACGCTGAAGGAAATACTACTTTCTTTTTGGTTTCTGCTATCTATTAATTCTTTGAAGAGGGATAATTTTGTGAATGGAATTCTATCTCCTTAGCAGGTTGAATAGTGTGAAAAGAGGCAGTAACTTTCCATGTGAAAATGGGTTCTCAGACTTCAGGGGACATGGGAACATGGAAAGGGGTGGCTACCAGCCCCATTCTCTGATTCTGGTTCACTTATTTTACTTTGTTTTAGGAAAGGGTGGGATACGTTTTTTTTTGTTTTTTTTTTTTTTTTAATTCTGTGAAAGAAATGGAAATTGCTGAACCACATATAGAACACCTAATTATGGAAAAGTTGAGTAAGGAATAAAAATATTTAACAGGTTAGCCTATTTAAGAATACCTGATTACTAAATCTACTTTAAGTTATATTAAATGTTTTTAATTTGAGCAATATAAAGTTTATGACAGTAAATGAAACACATTTAATATAAATATACCAAATATGAACCATCATATATTAGAACATTCTAACATCACAATATAAAAAGTAATTTATTTAGCATTAGGTAGAAACAACTGTGTAAAAAGAATATTAAAACCACTGAGAATGTCCTCAGCTCTTAATGAGACATTCATACAGAACTTCCTCAACTTACAGTGGGGCTATTACAAACCCATTATAAATTGAAAATATCTTGCCAATAATACATCTAATGAACCAAAGACCAAAGCTTAGTCTAGCCTACTTGAAATGTACTGATTATATTGACCTGAACCTACAGTTGGGGAAAATCATCTAACGCAGTCCATATTATAGTAAAGTGCTAAATAGTTCATGTAATTCATTAAAAACTGAACTGGAAGTAGAAAACATAAGGTGGGTAATGAAAACACAAAACAAAATATCAAAAAAAATGTTTGCAACTCCGTACTCTGTATAGCTGGTTGACCGTGAGGTCACCTGGCTGAGCCAAAGCCATGGCTTGTGGTCACTGCCCAGCATCATGACAGAGTATACTGCATGCTGCAAGGCCAGGGAAAGCTTAAAATTCAAAATTTGAAGTCTGGCTTCTGCTGAATATAATTTTTGTACAGTTGTATATTTCAAAATTCCTAAGCCAAACCATCATAAATCAGGAACATCGCCTATATTTACTTGAATAAAGTAATTTACTTTAATAAAATAATTCTACAAAGATAATAAAAATAGTTCTATATGCATTATTGAAAAATATATTGTCCTTTCTAATTTAAGACACTTTTGGGAAACTATCACTAAACTAGCATCAACTTACATTTAGTAAATGTGGCCTGGAAGCCGATACCACTGCCTGAGCCATCGGAGACAAATCGGATCCACAGAATGTGCCCATCAATGGATAAATAGTTGCCAGGGAGGGTGTTCCCACAGTATCGCCCCACCAAATGACCTGTCGCATTTCCTTCCCGGACCTCCACAAAATCCCGACTGCAGTTCTGAGAATCCTCTAGCTGGAACATTCTGAATTAAAAAAAAAAAAAAATCAGAGGGCTTAATTGGCAGAATAACTTTGGGATTATCCTGAATTACACATTGGGTTAGTCTGTTCACTTTTTGTGTTTCCTTTAACTTTAATCACAATGTCTCCCAGCTAACTGAAAATAATTGTTCACTCAAATTTGTTGAAACTTTACAAGAGGTACAAAGTCAGTATGTTGCCTTCAAATTTCTGTTCTAAGGGGAAAATTGGGCATACAGAAAAACTGTATTATACATCAGAATAGCTTAAATGTTATCAGAGCTATACAGTGGTATAAGAACTTTGAAGCAAAGGTATTGTATTGCTCATAGGACTTAATAATATACATTTTTTAAATTTATCTATTTATGCATACAGAAATGGGGTACAAGCAAGAGGTGTAGGGTAGCTGAGAGGATTCACCAAAGACAGAGTGGGGAGCAGAACAGACAGATTGATGAAGTACACTGCTGATGGGAGCAGCGGGTGAGACAGGAGAGGTCTGCCACATAATGTGGATCACCTCCGGGGCCGGGGATCAAACTCACACTGAAGTGGCTGCGGCTCACTTGCAGTGCCACACTTTAACCCACTGAGCCACCAGAGAGGGCCAAACTTAGTAACAATTTAATGAAAAGATTCTTTGAGATAGAAATATAAATACCAACTGTACTTAAGGTACAGAAATGGTGAACAGAGAATGCATACAGATAATGCACACATGCAGAAAGGGTGGGCCAGATTTTGAAATCTGTGAGAGCTCTACTTTGGTTATAATATTGAATATATTTAAGAAAATACTAGGAGAAAAAGCTAGTATGGTAAGATGAGCTAATTTTGGTTGTGCTTAAGTGGCAATTAAAGACATGTGTATTTAATTTCTGAAAAGGTAGTGAAAAATAGGATTTGTATTAATACAGAATGGTGCTCCATGTGGGGCATTTAACATGTATTAAAATCTGCAGTTATGAAATTGGGAAATGGAAGATAGGAAATAAAGTGTACATAATTTGCTTGTCATAAATAACATCAGATGGAATAAGTGGAATGCATAAAAACTACATGAATGATTTTAGGACTTGGCTTTATAACATTTTCAAAGAGGGATTATATGTTCGGACACAAAACAAACCTCAATAATTTAAGAAGACTAAAACCCCACACAACAAGCATCTCTTCTGACCACAATGAGGTGAGAAATCAACTACAAGAAGAAACTGGAAAAACCACAAATTCGTGGCAATTAAAGCAACATGCTACTAAACAATTATTAGGTCACTGAAGAAATCAATGGAAAAATAAAAAATACCTGAATGAAAATATTACATGAGATGTAGCAAAAGCAATGCTAAGAGGGAAGCATATAGCAACACGAGATTATATCAAGGAGCAAGATATAGAAGAACAGAAATCGTTAGAATTAAAAAAAAAAAGAGCTACTGTGTTATTTTTTTAAGTTGACAAATGGGACTACAGCAAACTAAAATGTTTCTGCACAGTGAAAGAAGGAATAATTAAAATGAAAAGGCAGTCTACTGAATGGGAGAAGATATTTGCAAAGATTTATCAGATAAGAGCATACTACCTGAAATAAACAACTAGTACAACCCAACAACACACAATGATAGAATCTGATTAAGAAATGAGCAGAAAATCTAAATAGGCATTTTTTTATCAAAGAAGACAAACAGATGGTCAACAGACACAGGAAAGGATTTCTACATTACTTAACACTAGAGAAATGCAATTCAAAATCACAATGAAATTTCACCTCACACCAGTTTGAATGGCTACTATCAAAAAGTCAAGAAATGAAAATGTTGATGAGAATGTGGAAAAAAAAGGAACGCATAAGCCCTATCAGCAATGTGTATTGGTACTATGGAAATCACTGTGAACATTCCTCAAAAAATTAAAAATAGATCTACCATATCACCCACACCCACTTCTGGGTATTTTTCCAAAGAACATGAAAACTAATTTGAAAATATACAGGCACCCATGTCCACTACAGCACTATTCACACCAAGCATGAAGTCAACTCAAGAGTTTGATGACAGAGAAATAGTTAAAGAGAAGTGGTTACACACACAAAAAGGAATATTACCACACAGCCATAAAAATGATGAAATTTTGCCATTTGTGATAGCATGGATGAATGCTAGGCTTATGCTAAGTAAAATAAATCAAGAGGAGATAGACAAATACCATGTGATTTTATCATTTGTGGAACATAAAGAAACAAATCAAATAAAACAAACCTTTAGACTCTGGTTACCAGAGTGGTAACCAGATGGTAAAGGGAGGTTTGGTAAAGGTAAAGGGATTAATGTAAAGGCAAAGGGATTAAATGGTGGGTATAGCATGAACATATAGTTGTTGAGAAGAGAAACTACACCTGAAGTAAATACAGTTTTATAAACTACCTCAATTAAAGAAATAATGGTGGAAAGGAGGGAAAGAGGGAGACAGAGAGGTTCTAGGAAAGGAAAAAATTCCTTGCCAATAAAAAATATATTCCTCTGTTGTGTATATCTTCATAATGTGCAACATGATGCATTGCAAAACTTCACAGCATGATAAGAATAGTGATTTTCTGGGCATTCATCTCCAATAATGGATTAGGATGCATAAGTTAGACTGGAGGCTCCGGGCACCTGACCCCCACAGGAGGATCCATGTATCAGGCCCACTTCTGAGCATTACTCTGTGACTAGAACATTGGGATAAACTACTCATGTTTGCCATAGTACTCATCTCTCAAGTCAGATACCAACATCAGTCTCTCATTAGGTGAACAGAGGACTTTCAGCTATCATAGCCCTATCAAGTAAGTTACTAGAGTACAGATTCTCTGGATCTATATTCTAGACACAGTTTTAGCAGCAAGCTATGGGTGATAACCAAGCAGCAGAAGAAATCATACCAGGCTAAGTAAACTACACATTTGTCTCTTTCCCAATTGTCTTTCTTGACAATTTGATTTTTCATCATATAAAATTCATATCTACAATCATTTTCAGCATAGAATTGTTCTTAATCCATCTTTAGGATGACTGGTACATTTGGTGCTTAAGGTCAGTCTCATATTTTATTACCCGTAATATTATCAACAATATAAAAACATGCTGAAATTGTTTTCTTCTGCTTCTCAGAATGCAGGAAGTGGAAAGGAGACAGTTTTCTTCAGCAGGCCATTTACATGAAATTGCCTCCAAAACTTTTCAACTCAAGTGCAGGACATGGTTCAGCAAAATCAGTTTCACTATAGAACTTGCTAGAAATGAAGAATCAGGCTCCATCACCCAACTGAATCAGAAAGTGAATTTTGGTAAGAACTCAGGTGATAAAGTATACACTGAAGGCCTACTCCAGGGGACAGGCAGGTTATTAAGTGCAGGCCTTTACTATCTTAGTGCCAGGCTGCTATAACATGGTGCTAAATGACAAAAAGGCATTTCCTCATAAACAATGCTAATGTAATACCAATACAATTTAAATTATATATTTTTAAGTTTCATTGTTGTTGGTAGGCTTTGTTTTAAGCCAACATATTTTATAGGGAAATCTAACTATCCTCTTTCTAAAAGATTCTGGCTAAGAACTATTTGAAAATAATATGATGGGATAAAAAAAGCAAGAACCATCAGTTTCTCATTATCTCATTTTGATTCTTGAACGAAGATCAGTCACTTTCTTAAAAAATAAAAAACAGCACTGTGAACATAAAATGTATGCTTTCTGTTAATTTCTTTAAATATCTGTTTTAGAAAAAAACTCCTAAGTTTTATTTTTCTCCTCTCTTTTGATACATTCAACCATAATTTCTCCAGTTTTTCTCCCTACTCAATTTCACCACAGTGTCCACCAGCCAAAACCCATGTTTTAAAATCTGACATTTTCCATATGCTTCTCATATGCCTCTCACACACCCCAGGGGAATGTTTCCAAGCATCCATCTGGAGAGAGTTTAGACAGGGCAGAAATAACTCATAGGATTTGCCATAAAACCCTTCTCATTATCATCCACATAAAGAGGATCATCTTGTATTGTACAAATTTTGTTTTAAAAATGAAAGTCAAGCAATTAACACAATATAATCAAAACCAGCTTCCTATGGATGAGAAATGAAAGAACTGAGTCACTAAGATGTGTCTACACAAAAATAGGATATAGTATTTGACTAGCTTTCGTGATATCGTCCATCTTCTAGAAGGAGAAACCCTATCATCCATTTGGATTTAGTTGTGAATTTCCACATGTTACTTCAGAGGTAGCAGGGTAAGAGAATTTGATATTCTTTGCACATTTAGTATGGCCAACCTGTGCTGTACAGTCCAGCTGGACATCTTCTTTAACCTCACCAGGGGTCACCAATGTTTATTATGATTGTCCCCAACAGATTAGATGAATCCTTCTAAGATTTAAATAAATTGTTTCTTAACACTACTTTAGCAATTCATTAAGAAATGGGATGCTTTCTCTTTGTAGCTCACTCGGCATAGAAGAACTGGGTTAGAGGCCAGAGGTGTGGGGGTGAGAAGATTCACCGGAGACAGAGTGGGGAGCAGAACAGATAAATCTACTGAAATACACTGCTGAGGGGAGCAGTGGGTGAGACAGGTGAGGTCTGCTGCGCCATATGTAGGCTAGCTCCCTGGTGGGGGGATAGAAGAAACTCAGGCCCTAGTGGTGACTGACAGTGGTGAGACTTAACCCCTGTGCCACCAGGAAGGTCCCAGATGTTTTCACTCTTAAACATCTCTGATGTTGAGCCCTGAAGCTGGCAACCACTAAACATCAGACTGATAGCAATGCAGAGGTCATAGGGCTCAAATGGAAAAAGGACGAAAAGGGGGACATTTATCAGGTAATTATGAGGTCATCTGAAGGATTTGAACTTTTCTATAAGGACAGTGATCACGTTTTATTCATCATTTTATATAGTAAAGCATTATATATAAGCTTTACATATATTCCTGTATCTAGCATAGAAATAGCATGACATCTGTAGACCTACAATGTAATAGGGCCTTAATAATAAATATTTCTTTAATAAAGTAAAATATAAATAAATAACATACTTAGTAATAAATATTTCTTTAATAAAGTAAAATATAAATAAATAACATACTTAGTAATAAATATTTCTTTAATAAAGTAAAATATAAATAAATAACATATATATATATATATAAAATTTATGCACATAGATTTCTCCCCATTTAGTACTTTGTGTGGTAGTAAAACAAGAACTTTTTCTTATGTCACAGCTTGCAACTTGCAAATCCCTTCAGGTCTCAGAGGTTGTCTTTGTTTTAGCACAATGCCTCTTGTACCCTGAGGAGGCACTGCCTGATTGATGACTGAACAGAAGCAACATGAGAGGTTTCAGTGGGTCCATAAATAGGACTGTTCTCTTATTTTAATCTGCTTAATGTACATAATGGCATGTCTAGGAGAAGGAGCAAGACTCTCTGAATACACAGGCCCAGTGTCTTCAAAACAATCCTCTTCTCTCAACCATAAGTTACTGATTATATTCTTTTGAAAAACAGAATTAGGCCCTCCCTGGTGGCGCAGCGGGGTAAAGCACAGCACTGAGAATCTAAAGCCGCTTCCTCATGAGTTCGATTCCCGCCTGTCCCGGAGGTGACCACATGGTGGGCAGACCTCTCCTGACCCGCCCGCTGCTCCCCTCAGCAGTGTACTTCCTCGATCTGCCTGTTCTGTTCCCCACTCTGTCTCTGGTGAAGCCTCTCATTGCCCCTGAGCCTCTGGCCTGTACCCCAGTTCTGTATGCACAAATAAATAAATCTTTAAAAAAAAAAAAGAAAAACAGAATTAATAATCCCAACCATAGCTCAATAATCATAATGTATGATAATAAATAATAGTTGATTTAAATATCAAAATGTTATCACCAGTATTGGTTAAGCATCATTACCAATGTAATCTCACAGGTAATTACCAATGTAATCTCTCAGTTAATTAATTTTAAAGTTCTACCATGTGATGTTTTTTACTATCTCTAAAAACACATTACTGTTTTTTATTTCATCTAAGCCCACTCTGAATGTGGTGCGTCCCTGCTGTTAATTTCATAATCACTGTCCACGTGTCTGAAGTCATTAAGTAATCAACTGCTGAGTTCCAAAAACCGTCTAAAATCACTCCCTGGTAAGAGAAGAAAGAAAGGTAGATTGGCTTGGGAATAAGGTATGAGTGAAGATCTGTAATGGGGATTTCTGCAAGGATAATAGTGATTCTTTGCAAGAATCTAAATGTTCCTAGTTTAATGAAGAGACAAAACTATCATCCTCTGAAAATGACCACTCTATAAATTCATGCAACCTGAGTTGCAGTTAATACTTATGATGATGTTAAGCAAAACTCTAGACCCATTCTCAAGAGAATTTTAAAGCTATTTATAACTCAAACTCTGACTAAAACAGAGGAAACTTGGAAGCCGACTTCCTAACGTTCCCACCGTTTCTTAACAGTTGCTTGGACACATATGCTGTTAGTTGTCCTTCTTATTAGTAACAGTGCTTCCTTCCTGCAGATTCATTCTCACTGAAACAATACCCCATAAAAAAAGATTTACATAAAAGACAGCTGGAGCCTGTTGCCAGGGGAACTGACAATGTTCCAGACACATTCCACATTATGGGGATAAACTTCTGGGTAGCCAGGGCTGTTGAAAGTGCCTTCAATCATATGAAAGGTTCCACCACAAGCTGAAAAAAAAAAAAGAGAAAGAAAGTGAGTGCCAGTCAATGCTCTATTACAAGTTATCTTAAGATGAAGGAGGGAGAACACAAGAGGAACTGTGAGCAGCTTCAAAGACCTACTTCCATTTTACCTTTAAAAATATGCTTGTCAAATGTAATTAGAAAGAGACTCAAATGGTAAATCTATAAGTCCTAGAAGATGGTGGGTTCATAGGAATCCCAGTAACTTATTTTCCAAGTCTTTACTTCCTGTGAAGTATTTTATTTAAAAATAATACTTTTTCAGGATAATTTTCAACCTCAGTCTAGAACACAAAGCAGCATTCCAGCTTTCCCCAGAATACTAAAACACACACAAATCTTTTAGTTGTCTATATTTTTCAGCAGCTTCCAACAAGGAACCTGGCAGCTAACAAACAGCCCTCTCCTGGTCATCCCCTTCCATCCCGCCCAGTGACAACACTCAGACCATGCCTGAACCCCACTGCAGTTATCTGTCCTCAAGACATTTATTGGACATTGTCAACAGGTTCCACCAAACAAGAGCATCATGATAGAGAACAAGACATTAATAAACAAACCACCCTAATAGTTCCAACTGATTCTCCCCTTTCTGGGTTTCACTGCAAGGCACACTAGTCCTAATAGACGAGGGGTGGAAACCACCTAAGTGTCATCAGGTAAATGGCTTTTACGCTTACATCACTGTGCTATAATGTATGCAGTGTTAGCATTTGAGGTTGGTTACCCTAATTCATAAGAAGGGAAGGTGACTCACAGGGTAATCTTAGGGCACTGTTCCCAACTCAGAAAGCAAAAGAGTTCCAAATAATAAAGGAGGATTTCTACCACTTTCTCAAGCTAGTAGAGCCATTTGCTCATGTTTCTTACCTGATGATGATGCAGCATATGTAGCATGAAAACCCTCAGAGTTAATACTAGAATCAGAGACAAACCTCAGTGTCAGAGCATTGCTGAAGGAAGTGATGGGGTGGGGCATGGATGTGCCACAAAAGCGACCTAAATAATGAAATAAAGACAAGAACAAACAGAGATGTGACAAAGGTGGGCTGCTATTTCCACTAAAGGGCTATGTACTAGAGTCACAAGAAACCTAAGTATACAGAAGAAATCATTATTAGGGTTACCTATGTTTGACTAAAAACTTGAGAATAATTGATAATTATTAATTCTACAAGCTTCAGATTGATCATTTATAACTGTAATAAAGAACACTAATGGGAAAATCTAAATGACCTGGCTCCAATGTAACTAATGCTAATGGCTCCAGCAGGAGAGGGACCCACACGAGTAGACGCGCTCATGCTGACAAGCAATCTGTGACAGCAAGAGCAAGCTGTGGATGCTGGAGCCAGAACACCTGGGCTCAGCTCCTGGCTCTGCCATTAACTAGTTATATGGCCTAAGGCAAGTAACCTAATTCTTTGTGCCTCAGTTTCACAACTTAAGACAAGAGAATATCAATAATAATAACTCTGTATTATAAAGGTATGTGGATTGATTGAGTTACTAGTTATAAAGTGCTTAGAATAGTACTCAACACAAGTTAGTGCCATAATAGTGTTTAAACACAATATAGGTATAATCATGTACATAATATCATCATAAACGAGATAACAGATAAATAATGGATAACCCTAGATAAATAATCTTCTATTTCACTGGAAACTAAGCAGAATTCCAGTTTGTTTGTTTCCACCGGGGACAAAGCCGGGGGTGGGTTGGGGTGGGGGAGCGGGTAGAATGGTCTACTTGAGCATTCTAGTAGAATGTTAATAATCTTGGAATGGATTGCATTTTAATAATACCTAAAGCAGTCACAACTATTTCATCTTTTTGGAAGTCCATAAAGTATTCATGTCCTTGAGTATGAACAAGCTGAGTTTCTTGAGCCCTGCATTACATTCAACTTCCTTATCCTTTAATTATCTTAGCTTGGACTTACCACTGCGCTTCTTATTGATTGAATGATAGCATATAATATGAAAATATATAAATCGAACCCAGCCAAGGCCACAGATGTAAATGAATGAGTGCAGCAGTACCTCGGACGGGAGCATCACCATCACTGCCATCCAAAATTTCTAGAAAGTCTTGGTTACACGTGGTGCTGTTTTCAAGTGCAAAGTGAGTAAAGGAGAGAGTAATATGGTTGACTGTAAGACAAAAAGAAAAGAGTTTAATAAAGTATTGGCAAGCAGAACATACAGGGACAGAAATTTTACCTCTGATAGTTTCACACGAGGAGTTTCCAGCAGACAAGCACACATTTGGAAGATTTGTATGGCAGTTAATTAGGTGAAGTGGAAAAAGTGACTCTATGCTAAAAGGTTTTCTTGGAAGAGTAACAGGATCAGTGTTTTTGAAAATGTCTAGAGAGAATCGGACATGCTGGCAATAATATGAGGATTTTTAGTAGGTTCGTTTCATGGATTTGAGGAAAGTCTTGTTGAAATGTATAGTCTTTACACATTATCTACCATCACTGTTGCTCCCTCACAAGCATTCTTCTGGATAGGATAGTTGAAAGGATGGCTTCCCCAGTGACCTGTGTTTGTACATCTTCCCACATACCCCCAGCACTCTCTATTTTATTGGAAGACCAAAATCAATACACTGAAGGTTCAGAGTCATTTATAAGGAAAGCTCTGAATTACTTGCAAACCAACAAGTAACTGGGTAAGTTTTCCCTTTTTTTGTTCTTCATGGATTCCAAATTTCCAGAAAGGATTTGTTCCTGTTTCTGTCTTTTAGCAAGTGTCATCTTTCAGAGATACTTTGCCAATCATGAGGTGTAAAACTGCTCAGCTCAGAGGCATGCTCCTCCTTATCAAAGACTCAGTTTCCGACCAGCAACTTTCTTCACTTCAAATCTCCCCTTCTGCAATTGGCAGAGGATTATATCATCAACCTCTAAATGAATGCATTTCAATAAAGATATCAATTTGTTAACTCTTAAGATCGGTAGGAAAATTGCTAGAGAATATTTAAGCCAAATAGCTTCCATTTTAGATTAGCAAATGGGGCCTCATTAACTTAAGTGACTCTCCTATTATAGCACAGATCATTAATTATAAAGCAGAGTCAAGGACTGAATGCCTTTCCCACATTATGCCTGAAATCATAATTTTTTTTTCTTTTAAACCTGAAAAAAGGGCAGGGCTTAAAATGGTCCAAGGATCACCTTTGTCTTTGTGGTCATGTTGCTTGTGTTCTGAGAGGAACTTATCATTGTTCTCACTCTACAAATTGTGGACAATAATTCTTAGCATCAGATTACTATCAAGTCAGAAAATAAGATTCTAGGATACTAAAAAAATAATGTAAGCATTTATGGGAATTTATAATACAAGTATTACTGGAAAGACCTGGGTTTATAATTAGCTTTCACTTTAATTAAAGTTCAATAGGCTCCTGGCATTGATTTCCAAACTCTGAGTTATTAATCCCCTAGTTTATGGTTCTTATTATTCATTTATTCATGCAGCAGCTGCCTTGAGAATCTACCACACTCAAGGTACATGTGTTAAAAATGACCTATTTATTATTTTTGCTTGCTCCCAATCTCACAATCTTGTTGATACAGCAAGATTTTAGGTTTTGGGTGACTTTTCCTTTGCTAGCCCTTACCATTTTTAGGGCTTTAAATTGGGAATAAACAGTAAAAGTTACTTTGTTATTGAATTGGGAAATGTAAGTTCTCTTGTACATCAGAAACAGACTTTTAAAAGAGAAAGGAAGGCCACCAATTGTTACCACAAAGAGAAAAGAACATTAGTCATAGGTGGATTTTCCCATGGACACCATTTATTTTGGATACCTTTTCTTTTTTATTTTTGTTACTTACATGGAGGTTCAGCTTGAATAATCCAGCTGCAGTTCTGATTGTTTGTATACTTGGCAGGGAACATTGGAGAGGATATAGTATCAACAGAGTTGGTGAGGATATAGCATCCACAGGCTGAGGAACACAAACACACACACACCTTTCATATACTTTTGATTCATACTGACTGTACAAAACAATTACTTGATGAATGAAGACATAAATGATTTGTCCCTTATTTCTGAAATACATGCCAAGGAAGTTTTCTGCCAAGAAAGCTGCACATAAACCAGGAGAAAATGGGAATGCACTAAATATTTATAACTATTCTTCAATTACAGGAAATGAAGAAAGCCATAGAACAACTGGTTAAGTGGCTATGAATTGGCTGAATTGTTCAAACAAAACTCTGGCATTGATTTACCTCCTTTACCCACTCATCAATTATAGGTATAGGGAACTCTCTTTATGAATGAATTCTTTTTTGGGAAAGTAAGTACTCAATTGAATATGATTTAATAAGAATGGTGGTGCATTATCAGAGAAGTCCAAAGCTCTGTGGGCACTGCAAAGAGAGTGAGTCTGTTGCCAGATGGAAAGTGACAGAGGCACTTCACACAGTGACTAAGGGAGGACTTGTAGATGGAAAAGAGTAGACCATGGAGAAAGTGTGATTAGAGAGGGGCTTCTGTGAGTTGACTTTGGAAATAGATGGAGAAATGGTAGGTGAGATTATAATAGATAAAATAAATGAAAAAGAAAAGATTCCTTTTTATTTCTAAATCACAGAGAGTAATTTGATTTATCCAGTTTTTCTTGCACTTGTCTATACTCTAGTGTGTCTTTTGAAGATCTCTATCCAGCACCTACCCTAAAGAGCCGAAGGTCAGGGTGCTTTACTATAGAAAATAAGAAGGTCCACTGGAACAGACTAAATGACTAAACAGACTGGCCTTATTTGAAATGACAAGGTCATTTGAATAAATCTCAGATATTGAAGCCAACCCACAACCCTTCCAGTTCTGGGCTACAGTTATGAAAATAGGATAAAGGATCTTTGAGAATGACCTGATTAAAAGCAAAAAGTTGTCTAGTAAGATAAACTGAAAGCAATGATTAAAGAATAAAAGCAAAGGAAATAAGACTGACTTCTCTGTCTGGAAATAAAAGACATCATTGGTTCTATATTACAAACAAGTCTTGTAATTTATAGTGGTATATCTCTTTCTAGCTACAATCTTGAATAGATGGTAGACATAAATGAATTTGGATTAAAAACTCATTTATAGTGCTTTAACATTTCAGGTACTTTCATGTATCATTCTGAAAACTTGTTTCAGAGTGACAGGAAAATTTAAAGGAGGTTGACATCAACTAAGTTAAACAAAAATAAAGTTAAAAGTATCAACAGTTGGAATAATTGCAAGTCATAGTTTCCTTTTAAATGTTACATGTTAAGTAGAAAAATCTGAGGACTGGTCTCATTTTATGGTTGCACAAAGAGGGTACCTAAGAACAGACTGCTTGTGTCACTTATAAGTACTTGCCTTGTCTGAAGTAAGCTCGGAAACCCCTGCTCTGTCCAGAAGGGCCAGACTGAAATCTCAGAAAGAGGATGTTTCCCGAAGAGAAGATGGGGTTCGTCAGCTGTTGTCTTCCACACACACCAACAAGACTAGTAGCTGCGGAGTTTAAACCATCATATGCCTGTAAAGGAAGATATAAGGGATGATTGGGGCTAAGAACCTCAGACTTACAATTCTAAGAACCACATTGCATGGACTATGCTCACTGGTGAGTTAAAAGGGAAACAAGGCATTTTATGGTCTTGTCACTCTGTCCTAGGTCATGTCAGATTCTTTAGTCTTTTCTAAGGAATTCCCCAGGAATTCCTTCTAGATCTCTGGATACTCTATAGATGTCATCATTTTCATAGCCCTTCTCCCCCAACTTGAGAGCAATCACATCCCGACCATATCCACAATATGTGCTGGAAGTGTTGGGTGCAAGATTGAATAGATGAGCAAATTGGTGAGCGATAATGACTAACCATTCCTTTTCAGAAACCCGAACTGCTGGAAACTTTTTGCTCTCTATAGGGTTATGGTTAAGAATGAAGTGAATTTCAGTGTTCTCTTAAATGATACAGTTATATGAGCCTGATGTAGAAAATTATTTCATCAGTTAAAAAATGCATTGGGCTCTCACTGTACAGTCTGACTGAGATACTGGACTTAGTTCACCCTCCATACAATCTGGTAGGATATAATTTACGTTAAGTTCATCCAAAATCACCATTCTGGCTTGATAAATTGAGCACACACTCATTTCCTTACATTCTTTGTGCTGGTATGAATTTTTTATGCTCTTATGTATAAAACAGGAGAAAAAGGAGTTCCTGTTTTTTGGGATGATAATGAAAACACGATCGGTTAGTAAATGTTTACTATGGGCCAGGAACTGTATTCGCATGCACAATTCTATTTTCTTTTTCCAAAATCCCTCCATTTTTAAGAAGAGGGCCACTGAAAAACAGAAAGCCCCAGTTATATGGCCAACTCACACAACTTCTGAAAGACAGTGAATCATCTTCAACAAGACAGAGAAATTATAGAGTTCAAAACTGATGTTCTTATTTTTCATATGCGAGATATCAGTTTCATATACAAGATATCAGTTTAGATATATTAGTTGGCCAAACACCTGAGTGGGATTAATACAAAGCCAAAATATGGGTGTTTTATTCAAAATAGTCACACATATCATAAGAAAAGTACTAAGGAGAATGCTCAGGAGTTTCATGCAAGGAAGGCACATACAAGTGACTTGAAATATCTAATGATGATTATAATCAGTGTTCTCCTTAGCATAAAAAAAAAGTATGATTAGGAAGATATCCTCAGTTTAATTTATGTAGGCACATGAGCCAGACATCAGTAGCTGTGGAGCAGTACTTATTTTCTTCCATTTTTCATTTAGTGTTCAAATTCTAAACTTATATGTCCAATAAATAAAGCATTAAAACTGATTTTTGCTCAATGAGGTTAAAAATCCAAATTATATTTTCCAAGTCAATTCAAAATTTAGTTTCCAATTTAGTATGACTTTGAACATCTTAACTTAAAGCCAAAACAGCACTCACACTGTCCTTACAGACCTTCTACTACATTTATATCTCAACCTACTCTAAAGTATTACCATCATCGGTTTAATCCAAACTGCATTACCTCAGATTTGGTTTTGTGCCCTTCTAATATTACAGCTGTATCATCCTAAAATTTTAGTGATGATATATTAATGGTATCTTGTGTAAAAGAATATATTTTCAGAATATCTGAGGTACAGGATCTAGGGAATATATCAAGTGGCTCTTAATCAAAACTACTTGTTTCTCTCAGGGTGGTTTGTTAAGAACAGTATGATAGCATTGCTTAAACTTTAGTGGAACACTAGGGTTCTATAAGATTATTTATTCCCCCAGGAAAACCACCACCACAACTGCCCCGCCCAATCACAAACCTTAATAGTGTTTTTACAAGCCCAGGAACTCATCTAGGCAAGATTCTTCTAGATGCCTTTATATCACCCCATATTCAAATATCTAGTGGTTAAGTAGACATTGTTCCATCCCTTTCTAAGTTCTCTTTACTCTCTGAATGGCTGTAATTCTCTTAGATTAAAATAAAAAGGTAGGAAGTTAAAGCTAGAAACAGTAGGAGCCACTTCCTAGAGATGTTCTGGAAGGGGTGTATCTTCCAGTCATTCTACATATTTTTCAATCCCCAGACACCCTGGAATCACTGACCTTGGCTCGAATTAATATGCATGGGGTATTTTTTTTTTACAAGAAATGGATCCAAGGTGAAAGTTTCCAAATGTCCCCGAATAAAAATTATATATGAATGGACACTAAATTTGATTAGTATATTGTAATTTTACCAGTACCTTCAAAAACATCCTAACCTAGACCTCAACATCTCTTTGGATTGTTTTTTTATGAAGAAAGTCAAGCTTATGTGTGTTTGCTATTAAAGTACTGACTCACTTAACTTAAACTGGTGATTCATGCAAAAATCATACAGTTAGTGAGTAGCCCAGTTAGGAATTCTCTCTTCAAATTCTAGATTATACTGTGTTACTTCTCATTCAAGTGAGTGTGATGCTTATTAAATTATAAGTAGGTAATTGTGATTTTGTATAGACCTCTGATTATCAAGATGAAAGTTTTTTTTTAACAGTTTGGAATAGCAATTCCTTTATTTGAGACTTATTCTCAATGCTTATAATATCACAACAATTTAAGCTTTATAAAAGTATATGTGCTAGAAGGAAGAAAATTCAAGAAACCTACATATTTAAAATTCTAGTCATGAAAATGATCGATATGTACTTTCTCTTATTCATATTTAGATCCCAAGGTAGAGCTAGTAAGTTATATTACTATTGGCACCAGATTGAACACATTCATGTAACTTACAAATGTATAATGCTTACTTAAGTGTACCGCCAAGAATTTTCTAGGTCTGGGAATTGATTTTCTGACCTGTTGCATAAATAGTAAAAGTTTGAGAAATATGCCAAAATAGAAACAAACTGCATATCTACACTAACTCATTTCTAGATGACACTAGAAAATAAAATTTGAAGTTGAATCTGCAAAAGGAAAATTGCTCACATTCTTGGGAGTTCTAACTACAGGGGCTCTAAAAATAGGCAGATCAAGTTCAGTGGTAAACTAATTAGATGGGCAAGATAGTTTTCTACACAGCATCCAGAGTTTTATAAAAATTTCAGAAACCAACAAACACATTCAAAATATCTAAATTTGGTTTTATTATATAAAAGGGGAGATGTTTTTAAAGTATAGGAACCTGCCACATAACAGGTTCTAACATACACATATATATGTTAGTTACATTTACCCATTTGTACAACAAATCAGACAGACAGACATTTATTGTTCAAATGAGCAAATGTAACTAACATCTATAAATGTACATGGTCTCTACCACAGAGGACCAGGGTTGAGGAATATCTAAGGTCAAAAAAAATCTGCCCTCTCTCACAGATAGATTTACTATTAATAGTTACTCACAGTGGGAAAGAGGGGCTGCTTTCTGGGCAGAATTTCTACCATTTGGTCCAAAGGGCAAGGGAAGAGAATCTAAACACAGGACACAGCCCCTGCCACAAAGACACACAGCTCCCAGTGGCCCTCTCATTGCCAGCCTTTTACCATCACTGCGGGAGAACACGGAAGTCCTAAGAGAAGGGTTAACAACCAGGTCCAGAGAATTCAGTACACACAACATATTAAAGTACCACAAGGAGCCTCCATACCCTAAACTCTAGCTAGAAAGTAGAACTGAGCCATACATTTATGATTTACTATCGTGAGGAGATTTGAGTAAATGGCATTCTTTTTTTTCAAAGTTAATGTCATTCAACCTCAGCATAAAGTGACACAGCAGAGAAAAATGATTCAAATGAGAGACTAGCATTCCTCTCTGATGATATTTATAAAGGTCTCTGGTCAGAGTCATTAGCATTGGTAATTCGAAAAAAGAAGCCGAGCAAAGGGAACCTTTTACTTCTCATTACTTACAGATGATAGAAATATGTTTTATTTAACAGCACACATTACTTAAAAGTTGGTGGCAAAATTTCTTTTGGACAGAAAATGTATTTTAACAGTGAAATACTTTGAGGCCTCCCAAGGAGTGATGAAGAAGAAGATTATTATATTATTGAGGAATCCTAGCTCTCTCCTCTCTATCCTTCACCTTCCAAATCTGTAAAATGTGACTGAAAATAACTATTTAGCTCATATTGATAAGAATTAAATCAATTAAAATATCAAAGTACATAGGTTATTTCCTGGCATATAGTTAAGTACTTAGTAGATATCAGTCTCCACTATTAAAGTGAGAGAGATAAAGTTAAATGTTTAAGAAATGAACAAAATTTAGGGGGATGCTGTGAAGACAAAAACAAAAATAAGTCCAAGGATGGAAGTTTGTCCAGCAATATCGATGAGTCAGGAGCTTGAGTGGAGACATGAATTGCGAAAATTACTCCGCTGGGTTTGGGGGCTGAGGAATAATAGCTGACTTCTGACCTAACTCCCAGTGACTCGTGTCCTCATGTAGTCTCCTCCCCGAGTGTAGCATGACTTGTTCTGTGAGGGACACCCACACAAGTCACTTTTTGGGCCTCTCGAATAGGGCCTGACAGTGATGAATGGCAGCTTTCTACCCAGGTGCCAAGCCAGGCTAATTGAAGAATAGGTATTATGTGGTATTACCTACATAAAGTGTCTGTATATGCAAAGTAATATTATATAGTACATATAAATGGGAAAATATAATTAAAAAGTATAAAAACAGTCCTAAATTCTTAAACCCAAGTCCTCATAGGTGGGAACGAGGACACCATGGGATACCTGCAGGATGTCACTCCTTAGTGATTCATTTCTTTGAGGAAAAACAAGTTGAAGAAATATGGCAATTCTGAAATGTTTTTACTCATATATATGTTATTTGCATTAGACATTCTATACTTTTCTATATTCTTAAAATATTTCAAAATAGTTTCCAATTAAAACAGAAAATACATATAAAGGAAACAACAGGAAATGTTGATTAAGTTTTACACATAAAGATGTTCTTGATAGAATAATAATTATAATAATAATGAAAACAATTTAA